ATACCAATCTATGGATAGAAAATTATATTTGAGACTCTGTTTAACAATTTTTAAAAAAAATTTGCTCAAAGGGGAAAACATTTTGTGTAATCTGAAAAACACTCAAGCACTCAAGTGTCTTTTCTGTTTGTAACATGTTTCTATAACCTTTTCCCTACATTTAAGAACATACATGACTTTAGACATTTTAAATTCGGTTGAAAGTAATAGAAGATTTGAATGTAATATTTATATAAAGACATTTTTTTTCATCAGTGAAAAAGTATTCAAAGTAATGTTTGAAATTTATCAAGTTTATTTGTACTCTGCTCTCAAATCATAGACTTTATAATTATATAAAATTGGTTCAAATTTTGGATGAATTAAACTAAAAGATTGATGGACCAGTGAATGGAAAAGTCTTGATTAGTGATCAGTTACTAAGAATGCTTTCAGTAATAATGTTAGAGTGCCCAACTGTAATTCTTTTTTGGGGGAGGGGCATTTATAGACTACCTGTGTTTAATTTTTTTTAAAGTTTTAAAATTATGTATATACTCTGAAGTTTTATCTTTCCTACGAATTCGAGGTTTCTTGTTTAATATGATACCTCATTTTAAATGGTACTTAAACTCCATCAGAGAATTGTTTTCAGTACAGTGTTTCAAAAAGAAAAGCGAAGTAGAAAGTTGTGATTTAAATGAGGATTTTGGTGCTATAATAGAACTTTGGGTATTTTTCTCATTTGCGTTAACCTATGTACCATTAACCTTGTGTACCAGTCTTTCCCCTGAGCTGTGTAGTGCAGTATGCAGCCTTCCTGGTTGAGGGCAGGAAAACTTTAAACATTGCAAAGAAACTTACCAGCCCTGCTCACTTTCATGTGTTGCCAGACATTTGCTAACAGATTCTGTGGATTTAACTGTGAATTTTTTAGTAATCAAATTGTTAAGATGACCTGGTCTCACTTTATAATTCACTGGGTTCTGAAGTGTCCCTGAATATTTTTTCTGGAATTAAAATTTTTAATTGTTTAAAAATTATATCAGATAACAAAATATGAAAAAAGATTGTTTAATGAGTTATTTCACTTTAAATCCACAGGTAGAAATTGACTAACTGATTTCTTTTGTATCTTTTGAGATTGGTTTTTAAAGACATGTTGAATCTGTATAGAACTAAAAGTCTGTTTCTTCGGTGCTTTTTAACGTCTGTTGACAGTAGATCCAGTTCCTTTTAAAAGCTGAAAAACTGTTAACTAGGCTTGGAAAAAGAACAACACTTCCTTTAAAATAATATCAAACTCAATTTTAGAAGTTTTTATATATAAGTATTGAAAGTTCTTAAATTTGAGTCACTAATGGAATGTTGATCCTCCCTCCCTCCCTTCATAATTCTTTCCAGATAAATTAGGTTGAAAACTTTGAGTTAAAAAATCATGGCAATAAAAAAATTAACCAAAGGAGGTATTCTGAAGTAATAATAAACTCTTATTAGATAGAGAAGTTATTGACATTTAAAGATGATGAGAATAAGGAGGTGACCTTGGCAGTTTTCTTATATTCACATATGGAAAGTTTCTGTGATCTAAAACTGCAAGTCATTTGTTTCTTTTTTTTTTTTTTTTTGACTTGTTTACTTCTAGTAACCAACATAGTCTTATTCTTATTCTAGCATTCTAATGTATTATTAGTAGAATTGAATCTTTATTGTATAACATTATAGGTAAGAGAGTTTAAATTGCAGAGTGATTATTGTAGGGAGAACAGTTAGTGTATCATTAGAGTTCCTTTTTTAATATGATATGTTAATATCCTTAGTGACATAAATGTCAAAGAGAGATTTGGAGTAAATTACCAGTTACTCAGTGTTTCCTGGCTAAAAGACAAGATGTCTAGGGAAAGACAAATTAATTTAGACTTCTGTGAGTTTTTTTTTAATCTATAGTTTTTACTGTTTAAATATGAAATGCATAAAAATGATGACTCTTGATGTAGTTAATTCTTCAGAGTTTTGAAGGAGCCGGATTGGCTGCTATCAGGTATGAGGGCCTGGTGGGAACAGACTTCTAGTTCTGCCATAAAGGTTTGTGTTTCACAAGTTCTAAATCAATTTACATTTTAAACTTTGGAGGCTGGACATATAGGTGTTCATGTACATTTTAAATCAAGTTCATGTAAATTTTAAATGTAAAAATGTATTTCTCAGATTCGCCAATCTAGATTTTTTTCCCTTTACATGTTACTGAGGGAATGAGTAAACATGATGCTGCTAATCCACAATCCAGAATATTGGATAGAAGAGTGTCTCTTAAACCTTTTTCTGCCTCTGCAGTAGTCACACTTTTACATACTCCCATTAACAACATATTTTTATCTGGTAAGACCCAGGGTTGAGAGTGGGGGAAAGAGGGCTTACTTGTACACAACTCTTCCCCTCTCCATGGGGACAAATGTCAAAATCTGGGAGGTGTAGTTGAAGATCAACAGTTTGAAATTTGTACTCTTCTCCTCCTTTTAAAGACATCATTTTTTGTTCCACTGGTAAGGTACTTAAGAGTTTGAGGTTCAATATGTGAATGAATAAAGGTTTTATAATACAGAGTTTCTGAAGAATGTTGTAGGTTCTTAGTCATAAAGACAGAAGCCATTTTCCTAACACAAAGTTATCCAGATGAGTTGATGGTATTTTTTGGCAGAATAAGAAGTTGATCAATAAGAAATGCAAATTGTTAAAGTATTCTTTTTGTTTGGGTTTTTTCCCCCAATCCTGTAGTATAGGTTATAAAGAAATAAAATGTAAGTATTATTACAGAGAACTAAAACAACTAGACCTGAAGTTTGAGTTTATGAAATGGCAGGTATTTTTCTTAAATAACAGCTTTATTGAGATATAATTCACATACCAATCAAATATTTTTAAAAATCTACTTATATGTTTACAGTTTTTATCCTTAGATTATTTTTCCAAATAGGAAATCTTTCACAGACGTGAACAGTAAACTTTAATCTTCACTTTAAGAAATCAAATTATTTTCTTGTTCTATCCTAAATTCTATTTGTTTGCCCTTACTTTGTGTTATAGCATTATGTTTATTAGCTTATATCAAAATATGATTTTGATAAGGTAACTGTTTCAGGTTTCTTTAGAAATTTTTATTCTAATTCTTGAGATATGCAGTGAGTTAATCACACTGCAGATTTTATAATTCAACCAGAGAATTTTAGGAATAACTAGTTCGTAATTCTTCTATTGTTCGTTTTCGTAAAATTGTTATTTTGCTTTCAATAGATATATATTAGTCCTTTTTTTTAGAAATGACATAGTCTTGATACACTAATACTTTGTAGCAATTTTTAACATGTATATGTATGCACAGTAATAAATCACATACAGTAGGAATCTCGACTAGTTGGATCACTGGAGGTTTTTAAAGGCTGTAATTTAAGTTAATAGCTTTTATGAAGTATTCCACGTAACAAACTGTTCTGTTGAAAGAGACTACTTAAATAGTGCTTTGAGTTTTATGCCGCAGCAAATACCTAACAAGTATTTCCTATACTGAAAGAACTTATCTTAGTGCTGTTTACACTACAGAAGACACTAAAGAACTGAATAATGCCCTATAATCAGGTAACAGTTATGCTTTAATTCACTTCAGACATCTCAATCACCTAAAGTAAAATCCTAAGAATTTCTAAACTATCCATAACAACAAAACTGTATACAAATTGAGTTGAAGAAAATATAAACTATCATTTTTGAGTTCCTACTGGGTAATAGGAATTGTACCAAACAATTTGCATGTCCTATCTCAGTCCTTCCAGGCACAGGATACTTCTCTTCCTTCCCACTAAGGTCTAAGTTCTTTTCTCCTTGCCATTGTACTTTAGGGAATTTAGCATTGTGAGCTATCACTTCAATTAGGTAAACACAAGATATTGGGCTAGGCAGTGTGTAGGATATTGAGTTGAAAAAGCTCTACTCCTTCTTTTCCTCTGCAGATTTCTGGATCTGCAAAATGGGAATATGATTTCTAGAAGAATATTAATTTTTAATAAAAGTGATTCATAGGAACAGAATACATAGGCCATTGAATTTATTGTAACTTATTTACTAGTGTTAGTAAATATTTACAGTTATGTAATTTGTATTTTCTTGAGTTGACTAAATTTAAGGAGCGACTTTGCCTTTGCTCTCTATCTAGTTTAATGTATTTCAGAATTTTGCCTTTTTATGTAGTATACTATTCCTAAGGTTAAGCCCAAAGCCCATCAGCCTGAAAAGTAATTCACCTACGTAACCTGTGTATTGATGATGTGGCTAAAATGTGAATTGATCTTGGTTATTCCATATGGCCATTCCTAATTTTCCTCGAAAACCGGACCCCTTCCAGAAGGAAGGCAGATCATAGTTATAAATAGTTGTTATATATAGTTGTAAATAGGTTTAAAAACTCTACTCCTCATTCTGTCTTTTAAAATTACATAGTAAATCTAAATACATACATTTATACATGTAGAAATATATGTTTATGTATGTATGTATGTATTGATTTATGCTAACATCTGCATTGTTAGAATGAAAAGCATTAGCATACTTGGACCACACTGGTTAATTCATAAATAACTATCAATTCAAGAGACTATGCATATTATAAATTTTCACTGAGTACATTGAGTAAATTTTCAAAAAGTACACATGGCCTATTATTATTGATTTATTCCCTAAATATTTACATTTTTATTGTCTTCTTAATAATTTTAGCAACTTTTATAAATACTGTGATTTATTCATTTTCTGATAGAATAAGCACGTTTTTATATTACCTGAGTCTAGAATAGCATTTTAAAACTGCATAGATTCTCAACCATTCACAGACAAAATACATATATCAAATAGACAACAATGTCTTTTTATATCTGTTTTGTAGAATTTCACATTAAGAAATTAATGCACAGAACTGGGCTTTTTGTATATTACCATTAAGATTGATAATATCACAAGCAAAAAGTATTGTTATAACTAGTTGTTTTATAACAAGTAGTTGTATAAATAATAGTAATAAAGTTATATAAAAACACTGTAACTGGGGCAGGAGTGAGGGGAATGGATTAGGGTAGGATACAACAAAAGACTTCATTCATCTGCTTCTGTGACATTATTTCTCTTAAAATAAAATTATCCATAGTAAAATGATAGCATTTGTTAAATATGAGCATAGGGTGTACGGGTGTTAGTTTTAAGTATTTCATAATTTAAAAAATACCAGAAATCAAAATGCGCAATGAACCATGCTCTTAGAAAGTTAACAAAAGTGTGGGATATATCAGATACTTGATGAATTTATTTTAAATAAGGGTGCATTAACTTTTCATCCATAAATTCAAGTATATGTCTGTCAGCAGTATTTATTTAACCCACTGCGGTAAAATTCATTCTTCCCTTGTTATCCCTTTATAACAAGGTGTTACTGTCAATTCGATTAAATTGGAAAATAAATGAGAAAGTACCTCAAAGCACCAGGCCCATATAGCTACAGTCTAGATTAAACACACAGAGACACATTCCCATACACACACACACACACACACACACACTTTATTTCTCTTTATTTTTCCCATATATGAAATATGATAAAATTGGCATGGACTAATTTGAATCTGATTACTATAGACAGAATCTTGTGGAAGTTCAGTAAATTTCTAGTAATATTACCCCTGTAACTAGACAATATTACCAACTTTTTCTTAAGGTTATTATGAAGATAAGTATGTAAAATACTTAACATTACCTGACAATTAGTGGTCATTCAAAAGACATTGACCTTGCTCCCTTATGTATTTATTTCATTTGTTAGTAAGATTTTAAAAAATAGACCTTATTTTTATAAAAACAAGTTTTTAAACTTATTTTCCTTCTTCCTTTCCATTCTGAGTCTACTTTTTAACCTTATTTTGAAGTTTTGCCTATCAGTCAAGATACAGCCACACATGAGCCTTGGGATTTCCTTTTGGACTTACTCTTTCATGTTGATACTCCTTCAGTAGGAACTCTTGTGAATAAAAGAAACATTGATAGAGGATGATGAATCACAGGGAGAGCAGACATTTCCCAAAGAGATGATTCTGCAAAGTTGACTGTTTACAAGTTCTTCCTAGAATTCTCTTCTCACTTTTTAAAAAATGAAATGATAAAGTTGCATGATCAGTTATCAAAACTTCTAGTAGAGCAATTTATGACTTCTGTTTTTTCCCTAGACAGTTTATTTTGTCTACAGTTGGATCTAATATACACTCTAATCCAGATCCATGTGTGAAACCTGAATAATTAAATTAGAGGATTTAAATGATACAGGTACTATTTTCTTTCCCTTTTTTGGCCATCTCTAAAAGAGAGAAATGTGTAGACATTGGACTAGAGTTGGCAAGAATACCTTTATATTATTTAATCTAAACTATATTAAAATGTATTATATGATAAAGCATTGAAGTGACCTTCAAATTGCATCCCTTAGAACTGTTTTTCTCTCCAATTCTTACATTAGTGTAGTAGTAATCTCTTTTTGTCTTGAAGTTACATTTCCTTTCAAGTAGTATAATAGCTGTCTTTTTTTTTTTTTAAACCAGTACTTCCTGGGGTCTTTGACAGTAATAAATATAGTCATCAGCTAGTATAATTATTCCCTTTTGTGTTTAAATTTATGAAGGTGAGGATTCTTTCTGGGATTTTTTAGTCTTTTCACTCAATATCAATGAGTGATGCTACCCAGTTGTACTTAAATCACTGGATAATAGATCTTTCTCTTCCAATGGGAAAGGATTTAAAAATCAAATTGTGTAGTATGTACTTAATACATATTTTACACTGTGTTTAGATACTTCGGTTTGGATAAGACAAAAAATATATTTGAAACATTGCTCTGTCGGGACACTTACACAAATTTTGTTAGCATTTTAATTTTTAGGAAACATTCTTTAATAAATATTCTGTGAATATATTAATGGCACTCAGATGAGATAAAAATAATTATTTTAGGAGAAATCAGATTAAAAATGGAACAGTAATTATTGTGTAGTATTAGAACCCTGACTGGCAGTTTGATGGACTGGAGAAGAAAAAGATGATCTCCAATAAATCGGTAACAAGCTTTTCAGCTTCAGGAATAGTGCTAATTATTTTTTTTAAATAGAGCCTCTAGGATCAAGCATTTAATGCACAATAGCATATCTAATTTAAAAGTGTCAATTGGGAACTTTTTTTGAGAGGAGAATAAGGAAGTATGTGGAAGTTGGCCTGAGAAATGAAAATACTCTTTTGTTGCTAAAATGTAGATATTTCTTACTGCTTGAGTGTATTGGTCAGAATATATCCTCTTCCACTCTTTAAGGTATTTGTGTAAGGGCACAGCCTAAAAACACCTAGAGAGAACATTCTGGCTTATGGATTAGATTGCATTAGTAAACAGAAGAACAAATTGGTGAATATGAGTTAACAAAAATTTTGAATAAGAAATTTCCCCACATGCATTTATTTGGGTGTTAATAATTTAATTTTTTGCAGTTTGTTTTGAAACATTGCTTATTGTAGCATGTTAACTTATGTTGGGTGGGGAAAGTGCAAATGGAAATTTGAAACTGTTTTAAAAATGTAAATTAAATGATCGACCCTACAATTTTTTTTTGGTTTGTTTTTTTAATTTTTGTTTTTGGTAAAATAATCTGGATTGCTTATTTTATATGCTGGGATGCTAGTTGTTTTTCTATTAATACACTTAACTTGCATTCTAGCTTCGCCATTCAGAGACAGGCATCGTGTGGTGGGTTGTGTGACAGTGTCTGTCAATAGTGAAGACAAATAGTGCCAGAGACACTTAACCCATCCAATCTCACCCAGGGTATAGGTCGGTCTTGTTTTCAGACTTCTTCATAAGTCGTTTTTTCTTTCTTTCTTTCTTCCTTCCTTCCTTTCTTTTTTGGTTTCTGAATAGTGGATTGATACTGATTGAAACTAAAACTTTTTGTAAAGTTTTGAACTTTACATTAACATTATAAAAAGAAAAAAGATGAAAAGTAGAAAATGAAGGTTGGCATGTAAGGTGTTGACAAAGCAGGTTTGCAGCCACTTTGCGTGTTCTAGATTTTACAATCCTTTGGCAACATGAATGTTCGCCTCATGATTTTTTTTCTCTCAGTGTCTTTCTTCTTTGATCTGAAAATATGTCCTCTTATCTGGTGACTTTTATCAGACAAGATGTTTAGATGTGAAGTCATTATTACCAAGTAAGAAAAATGAAATATTTAAAAAAGAATAACTCAGGTTGAACAGTAAATGTTTTAGGCCAGGAATTGTTTCCAGATAAACTGTTGCTTTTTATGATTCTATTCTGAACAGTCGATAGTTTACTCCTTCTCCGTTCCACTATTGGTTCACTTAGCACACTTGCAGAGTTGGATGGCTTTTTAAGGAAACTCAACTGATTTTGCACTGCTCTTGAGAAGTTATAAGATATAAGTGCAAATTTAAATGCAAGGGATCACGTTTTTATCTTGGAAGCTTAGTTAAATGTCATTTCTGTTATATTTATTTTTGTATCAGTGAAAGATATTTGTTTTGAGAACTTAAAAGAGGGTCTCTAATCTCAAAGCTTTCTATAAGTTTAGTTTGTTCCATATAAAGTATTATCTCTTTTTTATGGTATTTTAAGCACTAAAATGATATGATAATTTAAATAATTTCTCATTCACAAATCTAGAACTAATAGTTCTTAATTTTAAAACATAGTTTAAGCAGTATATAACATCTACATGGGTTTCTGTATGTGATTCCATTTAAAAATCCATTTTCATTTTTCTAATCAAATTAATACAGTTGCTGCTTGAGCAACCCAGTGCAGAAGTGGCAGGGTTAGGGGTGCCTCAGCGCAGTCAAAAATCCATGTATTATTTCACAGTCGGCCCTCCGAATCCTCTACTCTGCATCTACAGATTCAACCAACCACAGATTGCATAGTACTGTATAATCTATTTATTGAAAAAAATCTGTGAATAAGTGGACCCATGCAGTTCAAACCTGTCTTGTTCAAGGGTCAACTGTACTTACAAATTCTGGTATGTCCATGTAGATATGATCTCTTTTTATCCCAACTGCTGAATATTCATAGTGAACTTTAATGATTCCATCAATTCTGAAAATAAGTCAGGTATACATTTTAAATTCACCATCATTACTGGCATTTGGTCTGGTAGCTGGCTACTGCTTACTGCTAATAATAGATTTATTAGATTTACATATAGAGCACTAAAGATGTGATGCTTTCCTTCACTTACACATTTTAAAATTATTCTTTTGAGATTATAAATTTCCATCTGTAAGTTGTAGAAATAGTCTGTCAGTTTTCCCTTTAGTTTGCTGTACTACCTGTGGTCACAGAAAATACTATGGAAAAATAAAATTCTTCCAAATTCAAAGATAAATTTTTCATAGAAGAAAAATCAGTAAAAATTTATTCCCGTTAGGTGAGAAAATAATTTTAAGAAAAAATTTAAGAATAACTTTCAACTTTATGAAGAATTGTTAAGGGATTTAAAAAACAAAATTGTAAAGCTATAAAATAGAAATACATTATGACCATTCTGCTTGGTGAGAAAATAAAAGCAATTATTTAAACATCTTTATGTTGGAGTGTTTGTATTTTAATTAGCAGCACTTAAACATAGTTTCTACATTCCTAAGAGATAAAAATGGAGATTCAAAATCAAAACAGAAGAGAAGTAGTAGTTAGCATATCTTGTTTATAAGAACTTAAAGATAAAAACAGAATGTATAGAGGAGGCAAGATTGCATTAGCATTTTAATTCTACAGAATGTCAGTTAAGCTATTTCTTGATATTTAATAACATAGTGACTGAAAGATTTCTTGTAAATATTTTAAGAACATTCATAATATTCCCAGGAATGTTCTTTAGTGCTTTTATGGAAATACTTGGAAATGACGAATTACTGTTTGGAAATCTAAAATGTTCTTGATATTATTTTTATGCATTTATTTTTAAATAGATAACATTAAGAATTTGTTATTTTTAATAAATTTATAGACCCATACAAGTAGGTAATTTGGCTTATATATAGTTTCAAGAAAGAAAATTACTAGCACATTCTTCATAAAAATAGCAAATAGTTACCTCTAAACTCTTAAGTTACTTCTAAACCTTCCCTGTATCACATAATGCTGTTATACTAAGATATATCCTAAGCATTTTGAGTAATGTATTTTTTAAACCTGATGTGTGTCCATTATGAACACATTGGTACATTTTTTTGCCCGTTTAACTTTAATATACTTCAACATATATATCAAATACTGACTTTCCATGAATCAATTTAATAACAAATTGAATTATTACTACATGGCAAGTCATAGTGTGTTACATATCAGGAGGGTCCAAGATGAGAAAGATGTCCATGCTCTTAAGGAGCCCATAGTTCTTATCCTCCACTTCACCTCACGTTGCATTATTAATGCACTCAGATGATGTCTTGCTAACATGAATATAACATGCTTATGTGAAGAGTTTTGTACACCATTTTCATCATCAGAGGAACAATGATACTATTGTGGAGAGCTTTATAATTTTCAAAAATTGTCGTTATATTCTTAAAGTAAGTAGAATCTTTGTAATTTAGGATCAAACTGAGGTAGCCTTTAAAGGATGCTTACTACTGTCTTCTGACAGAGTTTATGTTTCAGCTTCATAGTTTTATGCTAATGAACTTTTTTATTTAGTAAGTATGTCCAGGAAACTGCAGGTAAAATATTTAAAATTTGTGTTAGGTGTCCAAAGGAAATGTATAGAATAATTTATGTAGGGTATGAGATCACAGTTTGGCATAGCTGTCCCAGAACAGACATTTATGTGAGATTATATCAGTTGGGTTTTATAACCATGATTGTTTTGATGAGATTTGCAAGATAAAATCACATATACCTTAAAGAGCAATGGTGGATTATATCTTGCATATTAAATTCATAACTTGCTTTTTAAATTCATGATTGCATTTCACCTGACTCTCCATCTGTCATGGACAGGGATCCCTGAGATGTTCATATTCTGCATTCTCACGTGCATGGTACTTAGATTCAAAAAGGTTGGATGGGGAAAAGCTGCTTTATAGAAATACAAGTTCACAGCATTCATGCTGCATGTTTTGTGTGTTCCACTGCAAATACTGCATGCTGCATACTTGTATTTCTTTGAAAATGATGAACATAGGCTCGTATACACACAAAAATTTAGTTTCATTTTTGCCAATAGTTGGAACAGATGGAGGAATGTTAGACATGCTACCTTTTCTATTTTTTTCTAAAATGAATTATGTAATATTTTTCAAAAAACAAGGAAAAAATTGGTTATTTAAACCCAAAGTGGCTACAAATCAGCTCCTAAACTGTCACTGACATTAGCATCTAGATTTTGTAGTTTTTACAAATCTTTGAAAATATTTATTTACTAAGAAAACATTGCATTAATGCATGATACAAAATTGATAAATTTTTCTTTAAATTGGAATGCAGTTTAAAGTGACTGAATTTTCCAATTTCAGCTACTGCATTTGTCAAGAATACAGACTGGAAAATGGAACTGGTATCATCTAATTGCTCTAGGTGCTTTAACTTATGGTAGTTGGGAAGAATCTTTCCATGTGGGATTTATGTAGATCTCATTATTGATGACTAATACTAATAACTGTGCTCTTCAGCCTTGACAGCAATGAAAAATTGTGAGTGAATTTAGTTCTTTCAAATGACTTAAGTGTTTTGGTACATGTTTTCAATTTAAAAATAGATTTTTGGCACTTGGCTTTTTGATTATCTGAACATTGGCATTCTTAAATTTCACTCTTTATATAATTGATGTGAATGTGACAATTCCAATAACTGCACATCACGATTTTAAGTTTTATCAAACTACTTCAGAACAGTGGCATACTTGGCTATAGATAAAAATTAATTTTAGATTTAAACATATTTTTAGTTACATCACGTTACCTATTTTCATTCTTGTATGTGTTTATGATTATAAACCTTTCCATATCCTATACAAGATAAAATCGTATAGGACTGACAACTTCTGACCTTAACATTAGTGTGCCTTCTGAGATTATGTTGTTAAGGGTTTAGTAGTAGTATTTTTCAATGAGCTGTTACGCCAGTTGCCACACGTTTTGAAAAGATCTACTTTTAACTCTTCTTGCTAGGCATAATAGATAAATGGTTTTATAAAAAACCTTTTTATAGGAACTAATTCTGGTACTCTCTAGAGATTTTTTTCTACTCACTTCTTTTTTTGTTAGACTTCAGTCAGTAAAATTTACTGTTACTCATCTGAGGAGATTCCCTTAATAGTTAAAATCAAACAGGCCTTTTAAAGAGAGAGGAAATGGGACAGTGGTAACCAATTGCTGAGTGTGTAATCAAGTTCTTTATAAGAAAAATCCGTCCAGTAATTAGTCCTTACTGTTTTTCATTCTACCATAAAGGATGGATTTATTACTTTAGAGATCATGGTTTTGAACTGCTACTTCCTTCTTCTAGAGACCCTCAGTGGTTAACTTGCTTATCTTCTGCAGCCTAGCATGTTCCAAATCAAACCTTTCTCACTTTTATTCTAGATTTTACAGCAATCATAGTGACGATACCAGTTCCATTTTGCCAGCAATTCAGTTGATTATATATTTTTTCTATTTATTTCTCATTTTATAATTGATATCTGGAATAATCAGCAGCTCTTTTCTCATTTATTTTCTCATATTTTTATTCCAGGATTTGCCTCTGAAGCAGGGAGTGTCTGCATTAAAAATGACCTGTAGTTCTCTGCTTCATAGGTTAGAAACTTATTTTAATATTTTGTGGCTAAGCACAGTCCCACTTTTCAAATTCTATAATGAATTATTTAATTGGCATTGAATGTGGACCACAAGCATATATTTCATATTGGGGTTTTCTTTATTATTTTAAATGATTAAAATTCAATAGAACATCCAGCTGAGGCAATAAATGCTTTATTCTTGCTTTACAGCTTAAAACATTAAATTAGATTTTTTAAAAAATCTATTGATTGTAATACAAGTAAAAATAATGCTATTTGGGCATTTTTAAAAATTGCATTTCTTAGGCCTTGTATTGCTTGAAGCATTTATATTCTAAAACTTAACCAAATTCCAACTATTCATTTTGGGGAAAAACAATCAGTTCACAAATCACATTTTCAATGGGACTGCTAGCCAGCATAGGTGAAAACATGTATAGTGTATTTACTCTTAAATTATACACTGCAGATGCTTCTTCAGCTCCCTCCTCTTCCTCCATGGGCGGTGCTTGCAGCTCCTTTACCACCTCTTCCAGCCCTACCATTTATTCTACCTCAGTCACCGACAGCAAGGCTATGCAAGTGGAGAGCTGCTCCTCAGCCTTGGGGGTAAGTAACCGAGGGGTAAGTGAAAAGCAGTTAACCAGTAACACAGTTCAGCAGCATCCATCAACACCGAAGAGGCACACAGTCTTGTACATCTCACCACCACCTGAGGACTTGCTGGATAACAGTCGGATGTCCTGCCAGGATGAGGGGTGTGGATTGGAATCTGAGCAGAGCTGCAGTATGTGGATGGAGGATTCCCCCTCCAACTTCAGTAACATGAGCACCAGTTCCTACAATGATAACACTGAGGTACCTCGTAAATCACGAAAGCGAAATCCAAAGCAGAGGCCGGGGGTCAAACGACGAGATTGTGAAGAATCTAATATGGATATATTTGATGCCGACAGTGCCAAAGCACCTCACTATGTGCTTTCTCAGCTTACCACGGACAACAAAGGCAACTCAAAAGCAGGAAATGGGTTGGTATTCACATTTTTTTAAAGTTCTCTCACCATTATGCAAAACAAAAAAATAAATCATTCCTCATCTTTCTTAATTGCTCAGCTCAAGTTTGCCTCTAAAGCAAAGATACTAATTTTATCATTGAAATATATGAAAAATTTTAACTTAAAATTATTGAGTTTCACTGGAGAATAAAATAAAATACCAGTAGATTTTACGAATAGATACCTTAGTATGATTAAGTACTAGAAAATGAAAATAGTCTATTTAGAAATAACTTCTAAATTTCAGATTTATATTTTAAAAGGATTTTAAAATATTTTTACTCATGGAAATAACTAGCAATGTAATGAATGCTTCTAGCTAAAACAACTCTATCTGGTTCTAGCTACATTTACCAAGGGCCTGTTTGTGTTCTCTTTCACATTGTCTCCCCATATGGTTCAGTCTGTTTCCATTTTTGTGAAGATTTTAAACTTTCTTTTCCTTTTTTCTTTTATTTGATAAAAACTGAAAAATTAAATTGATAGTGTGATTTTCATCATGTAGATTCATGTATTTATTTTAAGCTTTTCTTTGATACATTGTACCAATTCAGGATTTTTAAAAAATAAATATGTCACTTTTTTTTTTTCTGAATCTAGGTTATGTTTCTGAAGGGTGATAGAACAGGATCATGGAACACTTTTAGTTTTCATTCATTTCTTCAAGTTTACAGTACTCACTAAATATACTTCAGTAGCCATATTACAGAATATTTACATCTAAAGTATAAAATACTGTGACTTATTTTTAACTCCTTTAATATTTTTGTTGTAATATTTAATTTCTAGAGTTTTTACTGTATTTCCTACAGTATATTCAACATAGTTTGATAAAATTTAACTCATTGGATTTTGAGAGATTACTTTTTTGGGTGACAGGGTGTGTATAGTCCTTTAGTTGACCCAGAATTTCCTACAATTTCAGGTTGTCACAGAAGGTGATGGAGAAGCTTTTGACTGGTTTACTATTTGATGACATCAGTAGTATCTTTTAAGTTAAAAATCTGGTTGAGTGTTACAGAGAATATTTTTTTTAACATTTTTTATTGATATATAATCATTTTACAATGTTGTGTCCAGAGAATATTCTTAATATATATTAAACTTGTCCTGAAATATTCTCTCAGTATATTTTTAAAGCAGAATCTATTCTATACTACTTTCTTCTAAACTCTTACGTAAAACTCCTTTGGGGTGATATAGTTAAATTAAAATGCACATTTAAATGTTTTTCACTTTTTGAAAGTCCAAATTAGGAAATTTTCTAAAGAAAACAAGGTATACCCATTCCTAAAGTGTTACCATTATTAGCAGAGTCAAAAATTCTAGAACATATTTGTAGAGCTATCACCTATAGAATAATGCTCTGAAACTTAAATCTAAAAGGCTCATGTCTGTCTATCATTAAATACAGGTATGTGTTTATTTGGGCTTCTATGGAGAAAGTGGGTTTTTTTTCAAGTTCCATAAGACAGATTTTCATATTTATACTGAAATAAATGTTAAGATTCAAATGAAGAACAAATAAAAGTTTGACTTACAGTTAGTCAACACACATGGTTTGCAGTTGCTGTTAAAGAGATATCTTGACCTACATCTTTTCTGCTTCTGCTTTTGTATGATAGATATATCTTAGAAATGATTTGAGGTTACCCAGGGAAAGTATAATAACATTTGTCAAGACAAAATCTCTCATGAAATAATTCATGGAACAGAAACTCATCAAGCAGCAGAAGAAATGTCCAGCTTCTTAGGTAATGGAAAAATATTTGACACTAGCATATGGAAATGATGGAAGAAGTTTAAAATTTGAATTTATAAGAAATATATTTAGGAAAAGATAAAATCATATGTAAATATAGAAGAATGGACCTTTGAAAACAGTTAAGAGGATCTCAAAATAAAGTCCTATATTCTTCAACAAGAAAGATGTTAGAAACATGAAAAAATTTAGAAATGTTTTGAGAGATAAGCTATATAGCCTTAGATCTAATATGCCATAAATTTACAATTTATGTAATGCTAAATTATAGAAAATGTACTCTCAAACATGTGTACAGCAGTTTTATTGATCTTCAAGAGGGAAATAGTATTTTTGTACAATTAAAATGTTATATAAAAGAGTTTATTAAGAAAATAAAACCATTGTTCAAAAAACTTCTCGGTGTTTAAACATTCCTGGCCATATAATTCTTAAATTCTTGAACTAAATGTCCTGAGAAGCAGTAGCCCAATGTCTTTTCTAGCCTAGAAATTAAGATATGCTGTCACTTGGATGTGAAACCTGTTCTAGGCATTTTATAGTGAAAATTACTTTTGTGACAGACAACCAGAAGGATGTGCAGCACAAAGGAATTAGAATGTCATTTTAAGCCTTCTGAACAGAATATGCCAAGACAGTGGATTTCCTTTTTACATGTCATTTAGAAGTAAAATCCCATACAGTTAGCTACTACTTTCTTGTTTTTCCTTAAGTCATAATGCCTTAAAAATTAGTAATTCGAATGACTATTTTTCTAAGAATTAGTTCTTATTTTCATTGTTTTACATGGCTAGAGATCTAAATATGTATGTATTCCATGTTTACATTTAAACCTAGAGAATAAATTTAATTTTAAGGGCTTTTAAAAGTATCATTTCAGAAATTGTTTGATTACATGTGTGATTCTTCTTTAAGCTGTACTGTATATACTTTTATTGACTCACTTAATAGTCTTGATACCAAATGAAATTTTTTTAACTTTTTTTTATTGAGTTATAGTCATTTTACAATGTTGTGTCAAATTCCAGTGTAGAGCACAGTTTTTCAGTTATACATGAACATACATATATTCATTGTCACATTTTTTTTTTCTGTGAGCTACCACAAGATCTTGTATATATTTCCCTGTGCTATACAGTATAATCTTGTTTATCTGTTCTACAATTTGAAATCCCAGTCTGTCCATTCCCACCCCCCACCCCCCAAATGAAATATTTTGTTTTGTTGAAATACTGAAACTCTGTTTACCTTCATAAATATTAGCTTGGCTGGCTTAAGTGAATATAAAATCCGTATCTTACCAGACCAATTGGTATACCAAAGTTTCCTTATATTTCAGACTAAAATGTTCCCTTTTTTATTATGAAATTAGTAGATACTAATTATAAACATTTGAAAAATATAGAAAATAGAAGAAAATAAGTAAATCTAGTAACTCAGTATAACTACGGTTAGCATTTTGCTGTATTTTTGTTTAGTCCCTTTCAGTGCATATTTTGGGTATTTTTTTACCTAGTTTCAGTAAGTGAATATTTTTGCTTTGATTTTTATAATAAGCAAAAAACAGAGTATCACTATAGAATTTCATATATAAAGGACTGCACATTGTATTCAGTGTAAATTTTTTAATTTCTACCAGAATGATGAAAAAAAACAGGATTTATTGCCCTTTGTTCCAGCTTCAACTCAGTACTTTTGTTTGTAGAATTGATTCTCCCAGGGCCTTTTAAACTACTTACTCAGATAATCTTTGACTTAATTATATCAAGCTTCATCAACAAATACTTTTTTAGCATCTGTTGTTTCAGGAATTGTGAAAGTTTCAGGGAATATGAAGATGATTGAGTACAGTACTTACCCCCCAGAACTCAGTCCAGTCAATCTTACTGCATTCCTTTGCATTCCTAGCTGTGGGTTCATTCCAGTTCCAGGTCCCATTGCAAGTACAGCCTTTCCCCTCTTTATTATTGATGACTGAGGCAACAACTTGGTTAAAGATGAAGGGGTAAGCATTAAATCTAGGTTTAAGGCTGCTTAGCCATCTTTGCTCCTCCATGTTTGAAATCATAATATTCCTCCTGGGACCTGTTTGCTTTTGAAGGAAATTTTGTCCACAATTATTTCTTGACTCCTGTATCTTCATTGTGAGTGTAAATTTAGGACTGGGAAGGTCATACAGAAAGTATTACAGGCCCTGGTTCTATTTTTAAATGTACATGGGTGATTTTTAAACTAATAGTATTGCTTCCTATTTATTTTTATAACATATTTGCAGTACTTCAGATTAAATGTCAACCTGAAGTCCTAACAACCATTTAAAATATTTTTCTTTGAACATACATTCCACGTAGCAAATGCATGATATACAAATAAATGTTAGAAACACAATTTAAAAAAATAAGTTAGATTGCCTATCTGTAAGACTCCAATTATATAATTTTTATATGCTTAAGACTTTAATTCTTTAATCATAAATAAAAATACTCTGATAAATTAAACTTCTGGGAAAGATTGTTTAAAGCTAATTTCCAATAAAAAATTAATCACTGGGTTTTTTATTATAATTTTTTCAATTTGATGTACTGAGAAAGACATCCAAGAGAATATGCTACATGTACCTTTAGTTTTCCTTAAGGCCTTTTGGGGTTTTTTTTGTTTCTTTTTGCTACCCCCACTTTTCTTTTGTTCTGCAAGTCTTATTAGAAAATAATTATAATCTTGTAGCTTTATATAACACTCACACATATTTGTAGTTTTTAAACTTTTTTTTTTGACTGAAATGCAACTTGAAAGGTTATAGTGACATTAGCTATTCTCTTTCCTGTTATTCCCGTTTTATTGCATTCAGTCTTCCTTCCTCCTGCCACAAGTATGCATTCTTTGTCTTCTCTATCCAACTTACTTTCTTTTATTTTTTTATTACATAATTAAATTTTATTACAAACTTTTAAAAGATTCTTTGGTAATAGAATGTATCATCCCCTAGGCTGTATTTTATTTTGTCAATAAGATTAATTAGCTGTTTTTAATTGTTACTGCCTATTCTGTTTCTTCCTTTATCTTAGATGACTTTTATAGAAAACTCTTTTTGATACTATTTCCATGTTGTGCTTTGACTTCTCAGAACATTGGAAAACCAAAAAGGAACTGGAGTAAAGAAGAGCCCTATGTTGTGTGGACAATATCCTGTTAAAAGTGAGGGAAAGGAGCTGAAGATAGTTGTACAGCCTGAGACGCAGCACCGAGCTCGGTACCTGACTGAGGGTAGCCGTGGCTCGGTGAAGGACAGAACACAGCAAGGTTTTCCTACAGTGAAGGTGCTTACTTTATTTAGAAATATATGAAGAATTTTATCCACTTTTACTTATTAGATACTTTGTTTTTAACCAGCAAAAGCTGCCTAAAATAAAATTACTAGCTATATGTACTAGAAATTCAAGTCAAGAGTCTGACTGAAGCATAGGTCAAATGTTGTTACTCAGATGTCATTTGAATTTTAGTCTAAATGAAAGGAGAAATAAGAATGTGTTATAACAAGTAAAATATATGGAAATCATGGATTATCTTCCCCTTACATTTGACATTGGTAGCAACTGTATTAGATTCTTCCCATATTTAAGAAGAAATTTTAATGTGAATTCAGAGACATTGTAAAAATTACTTGGAAAACAAGGTTTTTGAGATGGCTGAAGTAATCAGGACCACTCAACTCAGAAAAGAACTGATTGATAGTCTTCAGTTCAAGAAACAGGATATCAATTGAGTCTTTGTCTTTTCAGAATTTAGACTAGAAGAAAAAAGGAAGGGCACTCAGTATCTGGGATACCTTTTTCAAAGACTATTTCTCTTTGAAGACAAGCCAAAAAAAAGTAGGATGGGGATATTTAACAAGTGTTCCTGCCCTTTGCAAAATGCAAAACAGGGAGGAATTTTGGCTAGTCACATGGTAGATTCTTATAAATACAGTTTGTGTAAATGTGTTAGTTGGACAATATTTAGTTGGACTGTCTTTGATTATGCTTATACTTGAATGAAACAATGTTAGAAACTTGGGATCAGGAGACTTACTCGGAACCATTTATAAAGTGTACAATATCATTCCTACCCCTCTACTACTCACCACACCAACTCTTCTCCTATCCCCCAAACTCAGGACAAGTAACAGGCAAGTGAGAAATTTAAATTAAGCTTTGTGTAAATATTTGTCTAACCAGACATTTTGATAATTTGATAAATATTCTTAACCTAATTGCTCTGGCTTTAAATTATGCCATGTCTGAGTACTTATCTGCAGAAGTATTGTTAGATTAATTGCCTAACTGTGATAGGGAGTGAATTGACTTACCTCCAAAGTTTATTTATTCACTCACTCAACAAGTATTGCATCCCTCTATGTGCCAGACACTGTTATAGGTACTGCTGACTAACAGTTTGGATAGATTGCTTATTTGCCTGCTTATTTGTCTCATTATGTTGATACACATAGATACTCACAGAGATACAGCTATTCTAGGATAGAAAAGATGTATGAGTTTTTTAAAGCACTTTGATATGCATTGTACGAGTTATTTTTGATTTTCTCCATTCTACATTTTAGCAGTTTCAGTATTTAACTATAAGTTGATCAAGAGCTAGCATTGGAAACATTTGTTCCCAAATGCTGTATTAAATATTTATTCTTCAGCATACAAATTATAATTTAATTTATGAAGACTTGCTTGAGACCTACAATGACCCATAGATCCTGGTTTGGACCAGCAGTTTTTCAGACCATAATGTTTTGGCCCAGGATTTTATGATGTTGTATATATGCATCTAGTCTATGAAAATGAGCTCTATTTCCCTATTATTTATATAGCTGCACTTCAAACACTTTTCCTACTCAAATAGCTTTAACAGAGTAAAATTTTAGTATATGTACTTTCATTTGATGATGATGATGGTAATGATGCCACTAATACGGTTTAGTGAATTTTTCCATTAGTGGTGGTGGTAAATCCTAAGTAACACACATGCTTCTTTGGCAGTCCATAAATTTGTTAATACCTTAAGGACTGTGTATTCATTCTCACCTGGTTGCACAAATTAATTACAAATGATAATTTATCATTAAACATACAAAATTTTAATTAAAATGTGATTATTGCAGAACTAAACCATCATTTTCTGCAGTAACTTAGCCAACTCTCCTTTATGAAAATATTTTACCTCTGTTTTTCTTGAAGATATAAGTTTTTTCTTTATTGTAATCTAGTTATAAATATAGGACTTGGTCTTAAATATTTGATTTTACAATTAGGTTATTTGAAATGCTAATTAATGTTTATGCTCCATGTTCTCTCACTCCAGCTGGAAGGCCATAATGAGCCAGTAGTGTTGCAAGTGTTTGTGGGCAACGACTCTGGTCGAGTGAAACCACATGGATTTTATCAGGCCTGCAGGGTAACTGGGCGAAATACAACTCCCTGCAAAGAAGTGGACATTGAAGGCACTACTGTTATAGAAGTTGGCCTTGATCCGAGCAACAACATGACACTGGCGTAAGTACTTAGTAAAAATGTTTTTTGTTATTCATTACACTTCTATCGAGGCAGGAAAAATTTTTAGTTTCTAATGTATAAAAGAAGATTTTGAGTATTTTTTAAAATGTTTTAAACATTGCAAATTAAAAAATAGATTATTGCTGAATAGTAAATGAGTGAAATTGCTAGAGAATTCCCAATGTGAAAGGCAGGGATATAAAAGCCATGTGGAAACCTGGCTTTTGGGAAAGTAATATAGACTTACATGTTGGAATTAATAATTAACATTAAAAATAAAATTACAAACAATTTGATTTGCTTTCCAAAATTCTGCTTTCTTAGTGTTTACAGTAGAAACTAACAGAAACCATTCATGGCGCCTTGACCCATCTTGGAATGAAATAGCATTATTGCTAGTTTAAATTTACCTTTTCTATTTTCCTATATTAAAAAAATTTATGTCTTGGGGCTATTTTTCATCTTGTGCAATTTTCTTGCCTGAAAAATACTAGAAGTGTTAATGCCTTAAATTAAAACAAACTTTTTCTTAATCCTTTTGTTAAGGATCTTTAATCCTAAAGAAGAATCATAATGGCAGCAAATATTGACATCAATAAACCTGTATTGTAATCATTTTTATTGGATAGCTAAAGACTTCTCTGCTTGGTTTTCAGGGTTTTTTGAAAGCCGTTTTGAATAAGTAAGAAGGTAATTGGAAAAGGGAAATTTTGAAAGTAAAGATTTTTTTAACTTTTGAAATTATAAAAACATACATAGTAGGAGATAGGGAGTTACTGATTATAAAAATATTACTCATTCTTTGTAAGTTAAAAAACACAGAATAATTAAAAAAGTAAAAATTAGTAATAATAAAATACTAAAAAATACCCTTCAAGAGCCAACTTCCCAGAACTAATTACTGTTTTTAAATTTGTTGTTTCATCCTTCTTTTCTGATAAAATTGAGGCAATACTGTAGTCATTGTTTTATTACCTGCTTTTCACTTACAAGCATTTTCTGTAACATTAAATATTATTTATAGAATTTATAAATATAAATATTATTTATAGTTCTGATGGCTATATATAGTTCCATTTGGGGGAAGCTGCTAATTTTTTAAAAGTAAAATCCATTCCCTCTATTTAAATGTCTGAGTTAGCTGCAAAAAGAAATGTATTTGCTAATTTGCTTGATTTATTTTTTTAAAGCAAAAGTATTTTTGTAAACCATTACTTATGTTTAGATTTTGAAATAGTGATTCTTGCTTTTGTACTATTTTTCCATTATTATTATAAATGAAAAGTTGACAGGATTAGGAATTACGAATATTTAGAATCTATCCTTTTGTACTTTTTGAATTTGGAACTGTATGATTATATTATATGTTTTAAAAATTAATAAGGAAGCAAATTATTTTTAAAAAGAAAATTTGTTTAAGAGTATTGTACTATTTATACAACAGAAAATATCAATTAATATAATTTTTTCTGTGTTAGGGTGGACTGCGTAGGGATATTGAAATTGAGGAATGCTGATGTTGAAGCCAGAATAGGGATTGCTGGTTCCAAGAAAAAAAGCACTCGTGCCAGATTGGTTTTTCGAGTTAATATCACAAGGAAAGATGGCTCCACTTTGACGCTGCAAACACCCTCTTCTCCGATTTTATGTAGTAAGTACGAAAATGTGGAGATGTTAAATATATGGAGGTTTTCTTCATTTTCTATTAATCTTTGAGACATCTCAGTTTCAGTTGTTTTACACACTCCAGCTTGTGAGCATTACTGAAACATTTTTAAAGCTGTAGTCAAATTTTCCAGAGTAAACTAAAAGTGGGTAATTTCTAATAAAATTCAAAAGGTATGTCACATTTTGTAGTTTCTTATTATCATCCTATCCTAACTTAAAAAGTAATTTGAATAGTTTACCTGAAGTAAATTACAAAGCCAAAGGATTTTCACAGCATCTTTGTTGTGTAATAAATTGCTATGATCCTAAGTTTTGTGTTGGAACGTAAGAAACACTAAGATAAGCAGACCTTGGTAAATGTATAACATTTGAAGTTCTGATTACAAATTAAAGTATTATAGCATAGTGGGAAATGAAATTCTTGTTTTACTAACTTTGACATAGAAAATAAATAATGTGTGTGTTTAAATTCAGTCATGTTGTATGTGCCTCACCATATAGTCTGGTTTCCCTGTAATGAGTATTATTACAAGTAATAGACAGGAAAATTTTTCCTTTATATATCCCTTAAGAAGATTTTCATTAAGTGTAATTTTCTTTGACATGACTTCTGAATTCAAAAGATCAGAAGAAACTCCATTCAGTTGAATTTTCTGTTGGGTTGTTATTGGTATTTTGACCATGGTACCGGTAGGACAGTAGCAGAACCTTTGTTATTTAATTGTGGCTTAGTTTTGCCAAATTATTCACTTTTTGTAAATCTCATTTTTCCCTTTTTTTAATTACTCTCAGAAGTGATTATATCCATACGTTAGTTTAGCAAATACCCTAATTTTAAAAAGAAAGTAATAAATATCTTTCTAGTCTCAAGAGAACACAATTGGATTTCTCTATTTTTCATTATTATGAAAATTTTGTTTTGATACTAGTTTTTTCTTTGGACTATTTCTGGGTACTGTTCAATTATACATATACTGCTTTTGAAGTTTGTAGATTCCATGTCCATTCTATTGTGTTCAGTTAGGGACACAATAAGTTATTGGTAGATGGTATATTGAGTTCTAAAACTTTTCTAATTGAGGTGCTGAATTGCTGTAATTCACAATGTGTCCCAACTTGAATATTATTAGGGTGGAGTTTCAATTTTAATGGGGCATGTGCAGTTCTTCTTTTACATGATCTAATACTTTTGAGTATGACCATGCCACTCTCTGAAGGCCAGATCCAGGAGATGCTCAGTAATTCAGATCATACTGCCTTAGCAGAAACTGGGAAACGGTTGTCAACTCTGTTTGATTGTTTGTTTCTTCTTTCATTAGTTCATCCATTTCTTTAGTTTCTAGTTATTAAAGTATTATTAAGGTATAAGTTATAAGTATATCCAGCTAAAGATGATAGAAAATAAAAATAAATAGAAAACATGATTTCTGAGATTTTTTTTCATCTGTAAGTATTACTATTATTTGTTAATTATCACCACTAATGGTAATTTATGGCCACATTGCAAAAAAATGTATCTATGTCCGAGGTGGATATGATATTCCTAAGAAGCAGCAGCATACAGTGGAAGGCTTATATATTTAATAATAAAAGTTACCATATTTTGAACTCTGGATGATAAGCTGGGGATTTTGTTAACCATTTTATAATCATTGTATCATTTAACCCTTACCATCACCTTTTATTCTACAGTTGATGAAACTGAGACTTACGTTAAATAGCTTCCTCAAGGTCACATAGCTAGTAAATAGTAAGACCAGAACTAAGTCTCTTCTTTTTAGTTACTATGCAATATTGCTGCCACAATCATTTAAAATTACAGTGCTGAAACCAAGGCTGAATGATTCATTTTATTCTAGCCATAGCCTCTGGCTGGCTGGGATTATGGTTATAGTAAGAAATTATGTTAGAAAACTGTTTTCTCTACCTACAAGATTTATGTTATGTAATTTAGACTTTTTGTGAATTTAGAAAGTAGATGTCAGTTTATATTAAGGGATTTTACTTAAATACCTATATTGTCCCACTTACTTTTGTAGATATCACTTATTATGGAGATATAGGATATATATTTTTATTCCTTTAGTTTAGTGTTGGGCACTTGCCATCTGCTTAGAGAAACTGAATTAGATAAACATGAACTGTATTTTCTTTTAAAGGAAGAAGTACCTTTGCAGTAATGGTTCCCATACCTCTTTTTGAAAAAAAAAATTTTAAATAATCATTAATTTGTAATTAAGTTTACATGATAGTTTCATATTTGTTTCTTATTATTATTTTCATAGAATTTCTTGCAAACTGATTTTTTCTTAAAACAGTATAATTAGCTTAAATATTTATTAATTTCTATGAATATCAAGTAGAACTAATCATTTAGGCAGGAGTATGCAGATCACACCTCCTAATGGGTTAATGATTTGACTTTTAAAAAACTCAGTCTTTGTAATGAATGTCATCATTCTTTGTTCAAAATGTAATTTTACTTAATCTCAATGGATTCTCATTAATTACACCACCCAGAAGTCTGTAGGTTGGTGAGACAATCCTGCTTTACTGTTTAACTGGCAACAAAATGAAATATTTTAAAGTTTTTATTACTTTTTAATTATTTTTGCTAAATATTAGATTAGATGAATGGGAAAAGACTAACTTCAATACTACTTTTCATAGTGATCCCTTGTCTCTATATTATACTCTGTGGTTTATAAAGTACTTTCATGTTTTGTTGAGGTTTTAGAAAGTTAATGTTCCTTTTGTAATTGGAGTCAGACACATAGGAGTTAGAGAAATTGAGATGAAAATACCAACTTTACTACTGATAAAACTGTTAGAAAAAGGACTGTCTTCTTTAGTCTATAGTAGAATCAATCTATCCACCCAGTCAAAGCAGCCCTCCATAATTGCGGGCTCTTACCAGCCAGCAGCAGTCTAAAACTTCTGCTTTGTGTGGTAGGCAGATGTAGAGGGTGGAGGGAAGAAGACTGGGCTAATCGTTCCCAAGCTCTGCTTACAACTCTTCAGTAGTTAAGACATTCCTCCTCTGTAGTATTACTATAGTGGAGTTTCCCATTAATAATTATGCTACATTATCCCATTTGATCCTGACACCAACTCTGTGATGTTAACAGAATAGAAATGAATTGGTTTTACTTTTTATATAACAAGAGAGAGCAGAAATCTTGTTAGTTCAAGATTGGACATGGCAGATGAAAGGGACATCTGATTTTATTCGTCCGTTGTTTAGAACTGATATCTACAATAGAATATGGGAAGTAGGGTATTGGCATACAGGCATTTAATTGGTTATTTTAAATTTACATACAATGAGTCATGCTTTCTGTCCTGTAGAAGACAGTTTCTTTTTTCTTTTATAATAGTTTATATTACATTATAGTATAGCATATATTATATATTATATATTTATATTATATTAACTACTATAAAGATGTAATTTGCATACCTATAATTCAGCCTTTTAAAGTGTACAACTGAGTGGTTTTTATTATATTCAGAAAGTTGTATAACCATCATTATTACCTATTTTAGGACATTTTTATTACCACCTCAAAAAGAAATCGTGTACTATTACTATTAATAGGCATTCTCAATTCCCCGTCACCTCAGTCCCTGGAAACCACTATTTTGCTTTCTGTCTCTGGATTTGCCTACTTCGGACATTGTGTATAAATAAAATCATTCAATGTATGGCCTTTTTGTCTGACGTCCTTTGTTTAGCATGTTTTCAAGGTCCATCAACATTATAGCATGTGTCAGTACTTCATTCCTTTTGATAACTGAATGATATTCCATTGTTTGTATATACCACACTTTGTCCATTCATCCATTGATGGACATTTGGGTTGTTTCCATATTTTGTTTGTTGTGAACAATGCTGCTATGAACACATGGGTACAAGTTTTTGTGTGGACATATGTTTTCAATTCTCCTGGGCATATGCTTGGAGTGGAATTGTTGGATTATTATTGTTAGACAGTTTCTTGTGTAACATTTCTCTTAAATCCATCTTGTGACTCGTAGATAGTTAAAAAAATTTTTTTTCTCTATACTTCTACTCCCTGTTTTAACATCATTTTTTGGAAAATATTGAAGGGAACTGAATTCTTTGTTTTAATTTCATCATTTTGTGTCTGTTACTCAGTCATTTTGACTTATTTTTAAAAAACAAAATGTGATATACCACTTCAAATTTTTCATATTCATGTGATCAGTCAGCAGATTTTGGCAGACAATAAATTTGTTCAGATGAGTTTTTTCTTTTTTTAAGCAATTGTGCTTATTGGGGCTACAATTTAGTTCACAGAAACAGTACTATATTCTAACAAAATGGTACCTTATTGCCATTTAGTCAGTTATACAAAATAAACAATGCTTCTGAATCCTGGCTATTTGTTAAGAGTGGTGCATTAAAAAGAAAAAAAAAGACATGCCACTTAATCAGAATCTCCAAAGGTAGATCTTGGGAATGTTTCAGGAAAGCTTAATAGTTAATTTAATGGGTTATTACAATGTACCCAGCTTGGGAAATAAAGATATGATAGCTTAAGGAGCTTACAGTCTAGCAGGCTAGAGGAGAAACAGACAAGTAAACTTCCTATTATATTATATTATATTATATTATATTATATTATATTATAAAGTGATATAAAGGCTACAGTAGATGCATGAATAAGGTAGAGTGGGAACACAGGAGAGAACAACATCTAATCCAGACTGCTTGGAGATGGTAAAACTTGTGCTGTGTCTTGAAGGACATATAGAATTAAGCCAGGCAGAATGGGGTTTACATGTAGATCATTCTGGACAGAGGGAGCAGTGTATAAATATACTCCATGAAAGGGTTTGCTTCTTTAGAGGTATTAAAAAAGAGTTTAATGTGATTGGAACAAAGAGATACCTATGAAGAAGTGGTAAGATTTGAGGCTAATAGAGCTGGGCAAGATCTCTTTTATAAAGAGATTCTGTGTTGAGCTAAAGAATTTGTATTTTCTCCTGACCTCTTTAGAGAGCCTGGGACTTGAACTTAGGCCCTGGAATGGGAGTTCTGAGGAGAGAGGAGAAGTAAATATTATAATAATACACAGTGAAACAAAGGACTCCCAAATATTTTTATTAAAAAATTTGGAAATAAGAATGTTTTTTCTATTGTGAGTTTCTGGTTTGTGTTTATTTCCGTGAATATAACTTTTTTGGCAGGTTTGAGCAGCTGGAGTAGAATGAGAGGTAAAAAGGAAATAGATTAATAAGAAGGGTTAGATTTGGAATGGGAGGTAGAAGGAAACAGGAAAATGAGAGGGAGGTTAAAAAAAAAAATGGAAGTGGGGCCAAAAGGTGCTAGAGGTAGAAGGGAGGAGAGGAAACAGATACTTAATCTTCCATCTAGAGACACTCCGTGGAAAGAAAGCCTAATGCCAGAATTCAGGTTGACCTTGTGACCTTAGGGAAAAAGTCCTGCTTCTATGTGTTGGTTTAACAGTGGCCATTTGGATCCATTTGTCTTTTTGTTTGTTTGTTTCTAAAGGGATAGGAGAATCATTCTATTTTACATTCTTGACATCTTTAGACTTCTCCAGACATTTTTTATATATATGCTTTTTGTTTTGGTATGTTATATTATTTGGTTATACTAGATCAAATTAAGAATGTCAATTTTCATAATTTTCAGTACCTACCCTTCTATAGTAATTTTTTAATATGGCAATGTTAATCATGGCTTTCTTAAATAAAATGTATTAAAGATTTTATCTTACTAATGCTTATTGTAATAAATCTTGCTGAATTTAACAAGTTGCTACTTTCCTAATCTCTAGCTATACCACAACTTTTTAGAGAAAGGGTAATATCATTGAGTAAACTTTCCTTCTCTTCACAGACATTAAAATGCCTTACTAAAGTTGAAATACTTGCTTTGTTATTTTTCAGTATTCAAATATTCATTAATTTTTTCAGCTTTATTTTTGAGACTGCTCTTTGAATAGCATCTAAAAGTGCATTATTGTTTTTTTTAATACCAGAAAGGTGACCGCTTTTTTTGTCTTAATTTTTTAAAGCACTATGATCACTTTCAAGAGTAAGCTTACTAATTACTTAAAGATAAAAATAAAACAGTCAGTTCTTAAATAATCCCAACTTTAATTCTGTTTAGTATAGCGTCTGTCCTGTTAGGTAACCATTGAACTTTTTAATAGAAAAGACCTTTAAAGTTCAAAAGTATTATCCTGAAAAATAATAGACTAGTTCTATAATTACAAATATATAGAAGATAAATACATATTGTACCTTCAGAGAGGCCTCATTTGGCCACCATATGCCATTAATACATAAAACGAAAAAAATGAGATGGGAAAAAAAGTTTTGATAATCATGGGTGAAGTGGAATTTCCCTATAGTATTTGAAAATGGGAGGAAAAGGGTATAGAGTATCCATTCATTTTGTTGATACAGTATATTCATTAATCTTACACTTATTTTATAATCAAAATAAAATTTATCATATTTATCTTGAATGTCCTTTAGAAACAAATATGTAGTTCCAGTGTTACTCCAAAATGTTTTAAGTTAGTTCAGTTAATTCTTCATTTTAAAAGGGTATGTAATTGCCAGTGTACCACCAATAAGTATTTCCATTCTGTTCACACGTTAACCCTATGGGTTCTAGACAGTGTATGTGTATATATCTTCACAATTTCTTTTAAATTCTCAGACATAGCTGAAAATATTATTTGTCATTTACATACTTAATTAGGATATGAAACTTGTTTGTGTCAGTAAGTGAGGCTAAATAGTGCTACAGTAACAAAAAACCAAAAAAAAAATCTCAGTGGCTTACACAACCAAGTTTTACTTTTCCCCCTCATTTTATAATATGTTGGCTGCAGTTTAGAAGCAGGTCCATTTCCTTCACTCTGGGATCCAGGCTGAAGAAGCTGCCCTTTTCTGGGATATTGCCATTTTTGTAGTAGAGAAAACCGGATATGATGGAATCACGTGGGGCTCTTAAATAGAACTTTTGCTTGGGACAGGCATATTACTTCAGTTCGTATTTCATTGTATGAACAAGTCACATGGCCAGTCCTGATGTGAGTGGAGCAAGAATGACGTGAATGGAGCAAGAGACTTCCCAAAAGGAAGGGCCTAGGGAAAGAGGGGCAGTAAATATTTTAATAGGAATAATTTCCCATATTACATTCTTGTAAAGATAATATTAATTATTAATTATGTAAGTATCTAAGGAGAAAAAAACCTAAACTTTCCCTAAAGTTTAATGGAATATCTCATTAATTTTTGAAATTCATGAATTATACAGCTGTATTTAAGTTTACTTTGGCAGTATGTATATTGTAAGGGTTTCACTGAAATAGCAAATAATGTAATCTGTGTCAAGGTACTTAATCTTAGGGGAACAGTTTTTTTAGTACCTAATAGGTATTTATTTGCATTAACCAGTAAGTACCCCAGGGATTATTTTCGTGGAAAACTAGACCTTCGATGTCAATAAGGAAGAATATTTCTGGAACCAGGTGTATTGGGGAAACTGTATACTATACCCACTTCTTGGTATTTACAGTGTACATCAGAATGTGAAATGCTTAGAAAAATCCTTTTGTTCATTTAGCTTTGCTTAACTCAAAAATTCCCAGATTTAATTGACTTTGGAACCTGTTTTACTAAGCACTACTTATTGAAGTTTAAGGAAGTCATGGCATGAGGAAGTTGGTAGGACAATTATAAATTATTTATTAGATCTAGCTTCTCAATACTTGTCAGCCTCTTTGTTAATTTTAGCAGTGGTTGGTCAGTCTTTGTAATTGAAAAACAAGTACATTTTATTTTTAACCTTAGGGTATCCTAATTCAGGGAGATCCGCTGGTAAAAAGAATTATTCTGAATTGGATTCATCTGTTTTCAGGTGTTCTTTTGGTTTGGGGCCTCTGAGTCCTTCGTGGGTTTTGATCCTTGAAGAAGCTCTCATTACCAGCCACCCAGAGATTCACATTATCTCAGAAGTCTTATAATGGTGTAGCATAGCTGACATTTTTAAGGTTAGGATTGTGAGACAAGCTTGTTTTTAAATTGAATTTTTTAAAAATATTGAGACAAAAAACATGACCAAGTTCATATTTTATAACTTTTTTATTCATGTAATGAGAAAACAAAAATGACATACAATAAATTAAAACATTATCTTAGACATTAATCTGTCCCTTAAAAATTTAATGAGTTATTAAAAATAAATATGGACTTTTCTGGGTTTTTCTTTACTTTCTCTTAAGGTAAAATTTAAGTTGCAGAATAAAAGAAATCAAATTCAGGGGTCAACAAAGACAACTTATAGAATTGGATAATTGAGAGTTAATTTAGGTAAGAAGTAAATGTTGGTGGTTCTTTTTATGGAATGCTTATATATACCCACAGCTCAGCCAGCAGGAGTGCCGGAAATATTAAAGAAAAGCTTACATAGCTGTTCGGTGAAAGGAGAGGAAGAAGTATTTTTAATTGGCAAGAACTTTCTAAAAGGAACTAAAGTTATTTTCCAAGAAAATGTTTCTGGTAAGTAGGCATAATACTGCCTTAGAGATTGTTGCATGTTTCACTTTATTATAAAGATACAGTCATAACTACAAAGTACAAAAATTTTCAAAATTTTATTAAGTCACTGTTTTTATTTCAATCAGATGAAAATTCTTGGAAGTCAGAAGCAGAAATTGACATGGAATTATTTCATCAGGTATAATTTAAGCCTCTAATAATTTATTATTTACTCTTTGAGAAATTCAGTTTTGTTCCAAAATTTTTCTGAATCAACAGATTAAATTTCTCATTTATATGGGATTGATGTAAATAATTCAAAGTTTCTTCCTTGGGTTTCTTTAACTGAAATAGAATTACTGAATTGAGGCTAGCAAGGACAGTTCTTTATTTGAAAAAGTTATGGGCTTTAGCAAACTACAGTTGTTAATAAAGGAAACATTTCTTTTCTAGTATTTATTTGCTCTGAGGATTTGGATTATCTTAATCTACTATTTGGTTAAATCAAAGGGAAACTTATTTATTGAGTACCTGCTGAGTACTAAGTACTAAGGTGTTTTATATTTGTTAGTTACCCTTTTGCATTCAGGCACACTATTTGTTACACTTATATTAAAGAGTCTATATTTTAGGACCTGACTATGTATGTATTGTTTCTTGAATAACAAGGAAAAAAGAGCTTGAAAACAAGGATAAAGAATAGACTTAAGAATTAGTATGTAGAGCATCTAGGACCAAACTCATAGAAGTTGAAACTAACAAAAGAGAAGGACAAACTTATAAGTAAATCAGACAGAAGGCATATGCAGAAGAGTAACATAGATATAGTTCATAGAGAAGAAAGACGCAGAAACAAACTAATGTATGTAGTACATAAACCCTAAAATTTAGCATAAAATGCTGATGAGAATAGAAAAGAGCACATGAGAGCAAGCAGAGAAATGGAAGTGGCAAAAGTTGAAGAATCTATAGCCAATTTATCAGAAAAATTTGTTAATTCCTTTGTGGTTTAAAAAATTTAATTAAAAAATTTTAAACTGTATGTATCTAATATATTGCCCAACTTAAAGCTAAGGGTATAGTGCTCCTTAAGACTGCCCTCACTTCAGACACCAGCCATAACTTCAGGGATCTTCTGGCCATTCTCACTTTTGAACAGTTCCCTTCAAATTCAAGGGTTCCCACTCACCCCTCAGATTTGCTAGAACAATTCACAGAATTTAAGAAAACACTATACTTAACAGTTTCAGTTTTATTATAATGAAAGGACACAAATCAGAACCAGCCAAAGGTAGACACCTAGAACAAGGTCTCGGACGGTCCTGAAGATGTAATTTCCTCTCCTAAAAGATGCCTTACCTTCTCAACACATCAACATGTGCCAGCATACCCAGTATTGCCAATCAGGAAGCTAATCTAGACTACTGGTCTTTGGAGTTTTTATTTGGGATGGATTATATACTGCCTGTGTAGCTAACCTTTTGTCTCCAGTTCCACCAGAGGTTGGAACGTATATACATGTTTCAGGAGTCCCCCTCATAAATCACTTTGTTAGACTGTTCAGTGGCCAAAACCCCTAACCAAACAAAGATACTTTTATCAGACATACCAGGGGCCTAGAGATCACCTACCAGTAACCAAGGGAAAAGGCTAGACCTCACTTTGAGTTAAATTAATTCCTCACTATATAGAATCATGTAAAGTGGAATTTCCTATATACCTAGACAGATACTATGTAGAAAGTTTCCCTCTAGCCTTATGCTACTATATGCTGTTAGAAAGAGATAGTGGGACTCAGCAGCCATTCCTTTGCACATTTACCATTGGACAGTCTCTGCTGGACTGGGTTTAACTGAAGTTCTAGTACCTGCTTTTTCACTAACAGTCTGTGTTTATCTATGTAAATCAAGTTGCTCTTGTGCCCCAGTTTTCTAATCTATAAAATAAGCTCTTTTACTAGATTATTTGAGGCTCCTTCTAACTCTGACATTTTATGATTTCTTATATAACTTGTTGATCAGACTATGCCTGCTGCCCATGAACAAACAGTGGCTTTCTCTGGAGGACTCCTAGAGGTTTGGGCCAGTGTATTATGACTCTTCTGTGTTCCTCATGATATTAAGAATTTAATGGATACTAATGAAAAACTTGTTGGTTCATTTTATCACTTTGAAGAAAAAGGAATCTCTGGGGTCTGAGGTTCTTTTTGAGGGCACTTCAAATCCTAATTTCATCCAGGTTCTTATATGCCTGTAGTTTTGGTCCTGACCAAAGTTTAATTTATCCTTGTTAGACTTTTGTGTGCCCTGAACATGTTTTATTTTTTGATAAGTTGGTTAGATTGATATAAACTCCTTTGCTAGTAATATTTTATTACAATTGGTATTCTTTACCTTATCCTGTGGTGCAGTTTTATAGATAAGAAAAATCGTTTTGGAGACTGAGAGGCTTGCCTTATAAATTATATAAAATACTAATGAAATAGCCCCAACAAATTATAGTCTTAACTTTCTGCTTCATATAGAACTTAATATTAAGTCTTTGTTTCGTCCTCCTCCTCACTCCCCCTTTCCTTCTTTCTCTCTCCTTCCTTCTTTACTTTTTTCTTTACCTTTGAGGCGTGGGGTAGTTATATTTTTTAAACACTTTTTTTCAGGGCATTTATGCCAGCTACAATAGATTAAAGAAGAATAATCATAAAAATAACCCACGTAGTGAAATGGAAAGGAATTATGTCCTAATTTGGTGGCTATATCTAGAGGTTCTGGGGTTTTTGCAAGCAAATATGTAAACAAACTAAATCATAATATGATCTTTCATTAATTCTGTGGTTCTGCTGTCCATTAAAAGAAATTGATCTTTTTCAGAGAAAGCTTTCTGTCTTTTTTTCTAAGGGGCTTTCTGGAAAAGTGTTTTAAAGTGAAATTAGAGCTGAGATATATAAAGAATCAATCCTAGAAATTATATTAAAGAAAAAAAACACAAAAAGTTTTGGAGTGAAGTGTAATCAGAAAGTACATTGAAAGTAAAGAAATTTTGAGTGTGGCCAATAAAGAAATAACAGGCCTATAAAGAAAAGTTGAAAGGGCCTCTACAATAGTTAAAAATGACCAGAATACGGTATAGTAGGAAAGACCCCTTAAAGATAACTGCAAATTATAGTTAAGAATAATTGTAATAGCATTCATCTGAATCCCAGAAATCAACTCATCAGATATTAAACTTTTTCTATTACATAAAAATTGAGATTAACAAAGCGTGGGAAAATAGTTCTTTATTTAATATTTGGCTGTTCTAGTCAAGGCCATAATATATCTCGTGCTCATGTATGTCAAATTTGATAAGCACATGGTCATATCTACTGCCATTTTAACAACTTTAGATGAATTCCATAGGACCTTAATTCCCTATTAAACATATATAAAAGATACACTTTAAAGATCTCTCTCCCTTCTCTCTCTTATATAGAATGTGAATTTTTTCTCATGTATATGAATTTTTTAAAAGATAAGTTAGTTTTGAAAGAAAGCAGGAGAGTTTAATACCTTTTTAATGTGGAGATGATTTTAAAAGGAAAGAAACTAAAAACATATATTAGAAACTAAGAAGTGGTTTATAATTCAATTTAAATACAACTTGTTTTACAAAACATGATATAAACATCAGTATATCAAAAGTAGAAAATTGTATAGATTATTATTTCTCAACCCTTAGTCTTCTGGGTTCTTTCTATTGCATTTTTTAGAGTGTAAGAATAGAAAAAAGGTGGAGCTTTGGGGAAGATGGAATTTTTCAGTATAATTATGGAAAGAAAGTTCTTGGAAGAAATGCCCAAAAAGAGCCCAGAATTTGTGGGATCAACTAGACTAAACAAAGGCTTGAGATCAAGTTTAGAGGTTATATATTTTCAAACTGGTTTTATTAGGAACTTTGTTTTATGTGTCTCCAGTTATTTTTATATATATATCCTAAATTGCAAAATGAATGTGGCAGTGATAAATTATCTTTCTTTCTTAAGAGAGTGAAAAGTATCTAGCACCATTGCTTGTAAGCTCTGGAAAAGAATATCTGCTAGGAAAGAGAAAATTGTTGTTTTGAACCCAAGCAGATTTTTATAAGAAATTAAAAGTCACATATTCTTCACTTTTTACCCCAAAGAGCGTTCTACCTACTGCAGAGGCCACCCAACCTTTTTTGTTTTGTCTGTATGAACTCTTAGCTCAGTGATAGTTAATTGCTCTTAATTTTTGAAAGTAGTACTTAAAAACAACTTACTGTTCACCACTCACAATTTACTTAGTTTTTAATTCAGATCACTTGCAGAATTTCTAGATTTGGATTGAGGAAGTATGAAGAATTAGTATGAAAATAGGCTCATTTGGTTTTAGAAAGATTTCAAATTAGATTTGCTTGCATATGCTCTTCAAAGCAAGTGAAGTAAAAGTTTTGTTTGTTGGTTGGTTGGTTTTGTGAGGAGGTTAATAGTTTTACTTACCTATTTTTAGAGGAGGTACTGGGGATTGAACCTAGGACCTTGTGAATGCTAAGCATGTGCTCTACCACCGGAGCTATACTCTCCCCCTAAAAGTTTTTTTTTTTCAATAAAATATGTGTCTGACTTTTAGACACAAATTCTGTTACTAATTACCAAGAAATACATTTTTATTCAGAAAAGTAATTTCAATAATTGAGTTTACCAAATAATTTTAAGACCAGGAAGATACTTCACAAGTCCCTTTGTTTAATCATCTCCTTTCCTGTAGGCAGGACTGCTTTATGATGTAGTTGCAGTGTTTAAACAAAAGAGGAAAAATGAGGGTGCACAAGATTTTTAAAAAAACTCTGTTTCTTAGAATTGAAATCAGTGCAAGTACATTTTTTGATGGCCTCATGTGCAATTGAGTATATGCTTTCAGATTTCTGCCCCCAATACCTGTGGATGTACACACATTTATTTATACATGGTTTTTCCACCTAACTTTTAAAAGTGTGATTTTTTTTTCTTTTTTTGAGATGGCTAACTGGGCTCAGGAAGCATTCTATTAATGCCATAAATAAGAAGCTCTTTTAAAATTTATAATGTGACTGTTTGGGGGAGTATTTATAAGATGGCTTAGAAACAAATGAAGTGCTCAAAAATTGAAGCCTTGACCTTGGCCTCATTTGTCACATGTTCTTTTCAATTTTTCAACTGAGTTAGCCAGCTACCATAGTCATCAAACTCACTTCCTCCTCAGCTGTCAGCATTGGCCTCCTGCATATCATACTCAGTACAGAAGCATAATCACTACCCCTCCTTGATGCTCTCTCCCATTACTATAATATACTAGGGAAGAAGAGAACAAGTCAAATGTGGTTCATGGTATCTTCTAAGAAGATAGAGTCCCACTGAGTGAGTGCTGGTGAAACATTTATGAACTCTTCCCTTTTCTTAAAAGGATGCTTTCTACCACCGTTCTCACAAAAAGTAACTTTACTGTAGTTTGGGTAAACTGAACCCTATTGACTTTAAATGAGAAAGTGGTTAGGAAGCAGTTACTGTGTTGCAAAGTACATCCTACTGTTACGGTTGTACAAAACATATGGTAACTGATACTGTGCTTGGTGGGCGTATTTTTTTCCTCAAAATTTTTTCATTCTTTTTTCACCAAGTTTTTTGAGTATATTTTGTGCAAGATGCTTAACAGTGAAGATAAAAAGAACAAAGCATCTAGGTTCTCATGGAGCTTACATTCTTGTGATTGGAGAGGGACAAAAAACAAGCAAATAATAGTAATTTCAGGTGGTGATAAGTGTTATTGTAGACATAAACAAGATTTTTTGATAAGATGGGAGAGGGATGCTGCTTTAAATAGGATGGTCAGAGAAGGCTTCTCTGAGGAGATGACATTTGAATGAGACCTGAAAACGGGTAAGGAACTAGCCATTTGAAAATGTGAAGGGAGGGTATTCTAGTGGGAGAGAAAAGCAGGTTAAAAGGCTCTGAGGTGGAAATGAATTTATTGTGTTAAAAAAATGGACTGAGAAGGCCAGTGTGGCTGGAGTGTAACAAGCTAGGGAAGAATGGCAATGAGATAAAGTTGACAGGGCAGAGACCTTGTGAGCCATTGTAAAACACTGATATTTTACCTTAAAAGCAATTTTAAGATTAATGTCCTGATGCCTGTGAACCTGAACTTTAAAATAATACATTTTCCCCCCTAGTCAGACTTTTTAAACTTCATACTAACAGGAAATGTACTTAATTATAGTATTTTAGTTCAAATTTTTAATTTAAATATTTCTGACCCTTGTAATTTTCTTTCAATTAGAATCATCTTATTGTGAAGGTTCCCCCATATCATGACCAACATATAACTTTGCCAGTATCAGTGGGAATATATGTAGTGACCAATGCTGGAAGATCTCATGACGTTCAGCCATTCACTTACACTCCAGACCCAGGTATGTCAAAATAAAAAAATTTTAAAATTCTGAACCAAAAGTAATGATTAATTTCTAGTTCTTTGGAAGAATATGAAGACCAGCCAGCTTAAAGGAGAGAGTTGTGTACTAAGATGAAATGATATCAGTATTTTTTGGAGATGGCATTATTTCCTAAGATGATGGCCATCATACACTGTTTTTACTTTTATGTTAAGAGAATCATTTCTGCCTTATGCTCTAATAATAAAAGAAAAGCTAGGAATGCTCTGAAGTCAGGGTCTCCAGAGTTACCATGTAAGTTACTCCTTAGCAAGAATTACCATTCATTGAATACCTCTTACATGCAGAAAGATGAGAGTGACAACTTTGGGAGACTGCTAATAGTTTTTAGATTAGCTGGCTTATAGCATGCATTTTGGGAGAGGCGAGAGATAAACTTGGAGTGATAAGTGATGATACTGCAAACAGAATTATATACCTGTAACGTTTTCTAATTTTTGTGATCATATCAAATAGCAAAGACTGTTGATGAATAAATATTTTAAATATAATGTAAAACATTGAGGTAAAATAAGTGCTTTAGAAACCAAAGCAGTAAGAGCAATTAAATTTAGAAGATCTCTGGTTAAGAAATAACTTGTGAGTTTTTTGCTCACATTTATTTAGTTGCCTCAAGAAGAGAAGACTTTTTCTGGCAGACATAGGGAGAACATTTTGGAAATGGAAACTCTTCACATAAGTTTTATTGACCTAGGCTTGGTTTCTGCTGTGCTTGCCTTTGATTTACTTCATTCCTACCTTAGGCATACTTTAGAGTTAGCAATTACTCCATGTCTCTTAAGTTTATTGTTACGTTGTTCCCAAATAGTCAAGATTCAGTGGGGTATAAAGCGAAAAATGGTGGCAGGGAAAAAAAGCCCTGGCAACAAAAAGTAATGGAAACAATAGCTAGGACGGAGCTGCAACAAGTCTTGATAATTACTTTCTACCACCTTAATGTATCTGTTCCCTTTTTCTTTTCTTTTTTTTTCCCCCAATTATTGTTTGAGTTACAACATTGGTTATTTCCCACCAGTTATCTATAAAAGTATGCCACAGTATAGCACGAATGAAATCCTCTTAGTACTTGTTTCAAAATAAAAAATAACAAGTAGAAATTTCAGACAGAAAAAGGCAACGCTTTAACAAAAATAGGAAAGAGGAGATTGGCTTATACTTAAAGATGAAATATTTGATTATTTTCTTTTTAGAAATGCCTCAAAAATCCACAAAAGTCTGACTTAAAACTAGTGGTAAAGTACTTTAGTAACTGCTAGTTAGTAAATATTGACATTCAGTACTTCGTGTGAAGAGAAGCTTGTTTATGTGGGGAGAAAAATGTAATTAATACATTTGCGTAGGGAAGTAAGAGGGAAGTATGTGTGTGTGGGAATAGTCTTTACAAATTTTAATTTTTGCTATCCCGAAAATACTGAGGTTTTGTTTCTGCTGATCAGTTACAAAGAACTTTAGGACTTTGAAATGCTTAGCATCAGCACTATGAATCCTCATTTCTTAGTGGTGAATGCTGATTATTAGAAATTTCCCTTTGATAAATTGCCAAATAAAACAGCTTTTAAATCTTCTATTTGAAAGCCTATACTAATTGGCTGTATTTGGCCACATTTAGGCAAACATTAACAAATTATTCTTTTTAAGTTTTTCTCCCTTGTATTTTATATGTCATAGACAGTAGTTACTCAGAAAATCTTAATGAATAAATACATAATATGCAAAATTTATGGTGAAATATAATGTTTCAGTTTCTGCCTTTATGATGTAGCTAATTAAAGAATCTTCCCATAATTTCACTTTTTTGTATTTTATAAAGTGCAAGCATCTTTTTAGGTGTGTATGAGAGAGAACATGATTTTAGGAAAACTTGGCTATAGAAAATTTGCAGCGTTTCATTATGATAAACTAGTAACTGTTGTGATTCTTCTGGAGACTGTGTTTAAACATATGAGTATTCAGTGGTATTGAATTACTGTAGTAATTATAATAGCTGAAACAAGCCCACCCCAATTTTTGTGAGTCAGAGTAGAAATGATGACTGTGATACCATTTTGTCTGAATATTTAAAAGTTATAAATTAAAATAACGAATTATTAAATAAAATATATCCTGTCTTCCTAATTTGATCAGGACACCTTCATAATAGCCTAGAAGGCCAGATTTGAATTTAGAATTTTCAAACTGCTCGGAGTTCCAAGCTGGAATATGGCAATATGAGAAAAGAGGATTCCCTAGCCTGCCACCCTTTTCCTTCTCCTGGCTCCATCCTCTACTGGGAGGGCCTTAATACACTGGCTGCTGCTCCAAGCTCTGTTCACGTTATAGGCCTGAGATTTCACACATAGTCTAAAGCATAGTTATACAGAAAATTTGGGAATCTGCCAGAGAGAGGGCCCCTCTAAAGCCCTCTGGGTCTATAATGCCAAAAATATATTGCATGTGCACGCTCTCAGGCACTTACTTTGCAGAGTCATAAAATTTTTGCTTCATTGCCTATTAGTCACTGAAGCTTTGCTTAACCATTAAAGCACCTTGAATTTGTTTTACTTTAGTCTATTAAGACAGAAATCATATTAGCTATTTTTTGCAGTGACTCTGCAGTGCTGATTCCTGTAAGAAATGGAGGCTAAAATATTCATATTTTTTGTTGCTTTAGAAACAGATGACTAAAACTTGTTTTAAAAGTAGAAATTTAAAATTTTTTCAAAGATTAGTTTCTATTTTTAAATCTGTAATTGTTAGGATTAATGTTACACTTTAAAATTGTCCTTGGATTTCCTTTCCAATCAATCCCATTCAATTGATAATTCCATTCAATTGATAGTTCATTCACATTATCATTTGTTGGCCCTCCTGTGAATCTTATGCTAAGATAAATTTGTGTACGTTTTGTCTCTCTAGTCATAATTAACTGTTTCTTTATATTCTCTATAACCATCATTTCACATTGTCCTGTTAAGAATAAATTGAAAATAAGCTAACTCAATTCCCAGTTTGAATAATTGAAAAAATGGAAATTAACATCTATTTAAATAAAGTTCTTATACAGCATTTTAAGCAAAAACCTGTTTATTTGAAATTTATTTAACTTTACATTCGGAACTGATCTCTACTCTTAAACAGTCATTAAAATTTTCATGATAGATGTAGTTGATATGACTAGGTATAATAACCTAGCAATTCTCCACTAATAATAGCAAAGATTATTTTTTCTAAGGCTTTATAAAAAGAATAATCATAATATTATAGATTTTGTATGTTCATCACAGCTTTTTTTTTTAATTTAGCTCAATTAACTGACTAATGTTTCGGAATGAGTGTTTTTTAAATAAATCATTTATGTAGGTAAATGGTGGGGTTTCTTTAATGCTAGTGTTACAGTATATTTGGTAAGTTTAAAAAGTCTCATGAATCTTCTGCTCATCTGATATCAATTTGTGTACTGTTACAAGAAAAAAATTTTAAAGTTGCTATTGCTTTTATTTTGTTTTGTTAAGTAAGCATATGCTTCTGCTCACTTGGAGATTGGTGAATTTTAGAGCACAGACTGCTGGTTATAAAAACTCATCTCAACTTAGAATCTCTGCTAAACAAATAGTTTAGTAATGCTTTGTGAGAAAATATTCCAGTTAAAGGGTTTTGAGATAACACAGTTTGTTACAATAAGTTTAATAAATACTTTAATCTTTTTTTGTTTGTTCTAATAGCAGCAGCTACTGCTTTGAATGTAAATGTCAAGAAGGAAATATCTAGTCCGGCAAGACCTTGCTCTTTTGAAGAGGCCATGAAAGGTACCAAGTTGATTCTTCTCAAAAACTATAAATTGGTGATGCTATATATATTCTCTAGCAAACCTTACTATTTTATTTTCTCTTGTGTACTCAGAACACACAGCAGGGTAATATCTTCCATATTGTAAAATAAATACTTGTTTAATGTTACTGAATGCGGAGATTTGTTTCCCAACACTATATTTCCCTTGATTCACCATATAAACAACTTTTTTTCCAACATATGTTGAAATGGAGGAATCTTCTGTTTTGTTTTGCATTCCCTAGTATTAAAAATCTTAAAAGTATATGTAAAGTACAATAATCTATGTAAAATAGGCTATAAAGTTTCTTGCTTCTTGTAGTGCTTGGCGTTGAGACTAAAGAGACCAAAATAAAAATTGTTGGTTTTTCAGTCCCACTCCTGGGCATGTATCTGGAGGAAACTCTAATTCAAAAAGATACATGCACCCCAGTGTTCATAGCAGCATTATTTACAATAGCCAAGACATGGAAGCAACTTTAATATCCACTGAGAGATGACTGTGTAAAGAAGTTGTGGTGTATATATGTGCAATGGAGTACTTCTCAGCCATGAAAAAGAGGAAAATGCCATTTGCAGCACCATGGATAGTCCTGGAGATTGTCATACTAAGTGAAGTAAGCCAGAAAGAGAAAGAAAAATACCATATGATGTCACTTAAATGTGGAATCTTTAAAAAAAAAAAGATACAAATCAACTTATTTACAGAACAGAGAGTCACATACATAGAAAACAAACATGGGAAGGGGGTGGAGAGGGATAATGTGGGAGTTCAAGATTTACAGATACTAATTACTATATATAAAATAGATAAACAACAAGGGAATTATATTCAATACCTTGTATAGCACAAGGAACTATATTCAATACCTTGTAATGGCCTATTATGAAAAACAATATGAAAACGAATACATACGCGCGTGTGTGCACACACACACACGAATCACTGTGCTGTACACCAGAAATTAACACAACATTGTAAATCAACTATACTTCAATTAAATAAAAAAAATAGTACTAGAACTTAGAAAAAAGAAAAAACTATTGGCTTTTGAAAAAGCTGCTTTAGGCTCTTTAGTTACCATTCTTTATTCTGACATCATTATTTCCCAATAGATAATGAAGATGTCTTCAGGATGTTATAATGTGGTAGATTCACTTCTTAGCAGATTTCTAATAACTATGATATTCGATTATGATGCTTTTGTAGTATTACATATGAAGATGTCAGTTACATTATGGCCATTGATTTATTCCTATAATTCTAGCTTTTACTTGTATTTTTCTGCCATGAAATTGAGTGAAATTAAATTTTAAACTTTTAAATACTTATTTTTAAGGGACATAATACATGTAATACATTTTCTCAGATACAGTATCATTAGTAAAATTCAGCATTCCCATGATACATAATGTGTTTATATAGCTTGCCATTATCATTTCTGACCAGGCACATTTCCAGAATAGATTAGTGAGGAATTATGCACTAGTAAGTAAACTGCCCAAGATTATCTGATTTGACTACAGGAAAATTTACAAATCTTTGCTGTGGATAACCATAGCTAATGTTTATCAAGTGCCAGGCAATATACCACATTCTTTACCAGCATTATCTCATTTACTCTGCCAAACTCTATGAGGTAGGTAATTTTATGATTCTCATTTCACAGATGAGGATAATCAAGGTTACAGAGAGGTTAATTTGCCAAGATCACTTAGCTAGGATGTAAAAAGAATAGGTTGAGTTTCAGTGTGTAAGGTAACATCTAAGCAATAATAATTCAGACCACGTTTATTAGATGAATAACACCATAATTAATCAATCATTTTAAAAAGTCAGGGACATTTGTGGTTTGTCCTTTGCCAACTTTCATGTGTTCGTGCTTTTCTCTAAAAGTTCCTTGATGCTCCTTTCATAGAGAATCAGGCTGGTGGAACACCAGACTAATCCAAGTGAAATTTCTTATACAAGATAATGAATTGAAGGGTGGAAGGTTTTAAACACTATGTTTAATTTTGGTAATAAAATTATTTAGTTATTTGATCAAAATCTTACCCAAGCCTCAAAAATGGGTAAGAAACAAACACACATACATATATTTTTTTCACAATTCAGATGATCTTATTTTGACATTTTTATCAATTGAAACCATGTAAAATAATTTTATGAAGATATAAAATTAAATAGAATACTAAACTACCTTACAAGTTTAAAATTTGTATTTGTCCCTTTTAAATACAATATCATTAAATTGGAGATTCCTGATCAGTTAAAAAAAAAACAGCTTTCAACCAGGAATTGTCCTTGACAAATGGCTTATTTCTGTGATTCCTTGAAATCAGAGCTTTAGTATAACACCCAGGTGCCATCTGAGAAATTTGATTAGGTGCTCTTTCATGACGAAGACTGAGCAACATAAATGACTTTTAAATTTGTGTTATGACATAATCCTCTAAGTAACAATCTTTAAAATAGTCACCAATTACAGTAAGATTTAGAACTTCATGTACAAGTATGATATTATGGCCAAATACTGAAAACTTTCACTCTGAAGTTTCTCATTCCTTGGAGAGGGTTTGCAGAGGGAGGTGGAGAGTACAGGCATAACTGCACAGCTACTCAGTGAGATATTAAGTCTAGTGCTAAAGCATCATGATTCATTTTCATTTTTACCCAACTGTGTATATATCCTTAACATAAAGCAATACAAATTAAATGATAAAATAAAGTGTACAGTGTAAACTATTGTTAACAGTTGCTTGGGAATATTTCCAGGAAGTTTTCTATATCTCTATAGGTGGAGTATGATGTGAATGAAAATTCAAGATAGATCGTTCAAAGACTCTGTGATGCAGGTTTAAGACCCAGAGATAAAGTACTGAAGTGCAGTCTCTCAGTTTCCAGTTTGTAAGGAGTGGTTAATTGGATGAGTGTGAAAAGACAGTTGAGAGCATATGTTTTTCTCTAACTGGTTGCCACTATGCAGAAAGGTTTAGGAGCATGGAGGATTCATTGAGATAATCTAGTTCAGTCTCATTTTACAGGTAAATAAACCAAGGTTTAGAGAAGTTAAGTGATTTGCTCAAGGTCACACAGCTAATAACTGACAGAGGTTGCAACTTAGATTTCCCCCAAAACTCTGTTTTCTTTTTGTTCTAGTATTTCCTCCCTTATAAATCTTAATACATATTTTAACACAACATATTTGTATGTGACCTAAACGCCGCTTGCTCACAACAACCTTTTAGAAAAGATTGTTCTAAGTTTGGAAAGTTACTGTTTGACATGGATGGAAGGAGAACCCTGTTTAAAAGTTATTTGGCATAATCCATGTTAAGTTTTCATAAAATAGTTTATAATTGTGTGCATTTTATATTACTGTGGTGTCTGTGTGTACCGTATTTCTAAATATTCAGTATTAAATTGATACTTGTAAAAACCTTAACTTGAAAAAGTTATTTGGCATAAACTATCATAACTATTTTTTATAAATTCAAATTGATATTGGGAGGGTTAAATATATCTGTCTTATTTACTTCCTAGATCTCTGAATTGGCTTAAAATTTCTCCCCCAACTTCTAGGTAGTACACAAACTTTACTTGTTTGTATTTTTTCCCTCCTTGACTAAAATGTAGCCTCCGGATAGTAGGGCTTTATCCATCTTATTCACCACTGGATGTCCAGAACCTAGAACAGTGCCTGGAGCTTTGTAAGGGCTCATTAAGTACATAGTGAAGATGTAGGAAGAAAAGATAGGGTGACATCTCTCAAGCCATTTAATATTGTTCACAAGTCCATTAAGATGTGGTTGTGAGTTCTGAGACAAGATAGTATAGACTCACTCTTCCCTGTTTCTCCCTTCTAAATCTACTCAATACCTTGGAAATATTCAACAGTCATAAAAGGACTTGGAAACATAGAAAGAAGAAGGTAGACTGACTCAGGACCTTAGAACTTACAGAACAACACCAAGTGAGTTTCCTGGGTTTTCCTTTTATCTCCCATTTATCTAAATTGGGCAGCAGTTGCAACTCAGAACTAGCAACAGGCATAGACAAAAAATAAGTCAATAAATAAGCATGAAAAGCCTGTTCTCTTTGGCCAAAAGAGCAGGAAAGGGAAAACCCAGCAGAGACTTAATGGGATGACACATACCTAGTGATAGCGGGTGACCCATTAGCAGAGTTTGGAGGCCAACCCGTCCCCCACCCATACCTGCAGTAGCAATAGCAGAACTTAGAAGGGTCAACCCATCCCATGCCTTGTGCCTGCCAAGTAGTAGTGGGCCCAGTCTGCCAACAGTGGAACCCAGGAAGGCCAAAACATAGGACTCATATGCGCTAGCAGCAGCACATCAGTCTCTGCAAGAATGTTAACAAAACCCAGAGGGTCAACCCATCCCCCACCTCACACCAGGCAGCAGCATACAGACCCCTTCCACCTGCACTGGTGATACCAGCAGGCTCTGTGTCTTTCTATCCTTCCCCCAACATCAGAGCAAGACCTAGACCTGGCAACTCCAGGCCTTCCACCCACGAGCAGAGGAAGATACAGACCAAATGTCTTCCAAACCTCCACCCAGTGATAGAAGGCAATCCAGGGGCAGAAGGTAAAACAGCCCAGGGTCTCCCAAACCTCCACCCAGTGACAGAGAGCTACCCAGCCCAGACCCCACAGTTTTTGACCTTATACCCAGTGACAAAAGACAGCGCACGTAGTTTCTTCCCTCCCCCAGCAACACCAAAAGTGATAGAATAGGAATCCCATTAGTACCAGGAGACCAGAGAACATGCCAGGAGAAATGTTTTCACTCCTGCAGGTTCAGCATCCCTCACTCACACCTAATGACACCAGACAGCCCAAGGAAGCACCTTCTACTCCTATAGTCAGCATCAGCAGGATTTCAGCTGGAGCCCATACAAAGCTAGCACAGAAAGCAGACCAGAATAGGGCTCAGAAAACTAAATAACCATTGGCCATACAAAGACTTTGTGCATACGGCCATGGGAAGATCTGTTATCTTTGCATAGGCATTAGACAAGAAGTCCTTTTCTTGTTTGTCTATACCAATAGACATACCTATTTGTCATTGGTCTCCTTGGGAGGAGTAAAAGACTCTTGCTCAATTTATTCTACCTATTCTCACTTTCCAGAAGGGGAAAAAATTATGATAATAAGAGTTATTCTCTGAATAAATTGGGGGCAAAATTGTATATAGATCTGTTAAGCAGTAACTGTGTAGGTAATGCATTTGTCAATGGATATTTATATGCAGTTTTTAACTGAAATGTAATATAAACCTGTTTGTAGATAGAGAAAATTTTAGATCTGAAATACTAATGAAATTAGTATTAATGAAAATATGCAACTCTCTACTATACAATTAACCAAACAGTTCACAACAAACTTAATTGACTGATAAAGTTAGATTGATTAATTCATTTATTTAGTCATTCAACAAATATTTATTGATTACCAACTATGCACCAGGCAACAATGAAAAAAATCTTGCCTTCGTGGAGCTCATATTCTAACAGAATTTAAAAGCAAGAATAGCAGTTGATATTATAGGATCAACTTAAGACGACACTAATTGTCTTTAAAATTGCCCTGGATTTCTAGGGGTGGGCCTAGAATACTTAAATGCCTGTCTTATGCATGATCTGAAGCTTTGTCTCAGTCAGAATTGGATTGTGAGTTGAATGGTATTGGTAGAATCTAGGTGAAAATAGGTCCAAAGGACTCATGAGTAAATGATCAATTTCTCAGAGCAATAAAGTATAGGATATCAAAAGTTAAATGGGCACTTTCCTCTTCCTTAGTAAGATCAATTTCCATAGGAATTATTTCTAGCCAGTTGACTGTGAGACAAGTTAAAGTAAGATTGGATAAAGTTTTAAATATTTTTAAATAAAAATATTTACAAAGATAAATATCATGCATATACCGCAATCCATTCTAAAATTCTCTTTGTAGCCAAGATTTTTTCTCAGTATCAAATTAAGAAGCCTGTGTATAAAAATATCAAATCACTGTGTTGTATTTAAAGTAAGATTGGATAAAGTTTTAAATATTTTTAAATAAAAATATTTACAAAGATAAATATCATGCATATACCGCAATCCATTCTAAAATTCTCTTTGTAGCCAAGATTTTTTCTCAGTATCAAATTAAGAAGCCTGTGTATAAAAATATCAAATCACTGTGTTGTATGCCTGAAGCTAATATAGTATTATATGTTTATAATAGTTCAGTTAAAAAAAAAAAGAGAGAACTTTAACAGCTATGGCTTCTGGGGAACCTATGTTTCTTTACACAGGGTCTGAAAGTAGTGGTAAACTTTTAGATCAAAATTTGGCTATGTGTTCCAATTCAGAAGAAGACTGAGAAGACTGCATTATTGATTTTCAGTAGGCTCCACTAAGTGCCAGTGGCAGACCTAAGTAGATGAAAAAGAAAGAGAATCAAGGGGAAAAAGTAGATACAATGAAGTGGTCAGACCTACTTATCTGCCTTACATATTGCCTCTGCTCGGTTGTTAATCTCTAACTATCCCCAGAAATAGGAGTAGATGGAAGTAGAAAAACACTTGCTGCTTTTGCTTTGGAAATTTAATTGGTAGACCTAAAAGAGTCCTTTAATTTCTGAAAAGAAAAAAAAAATTTAACTCCTATCTAAAAGAGAAATGTGTTCATTTGTCAATTTGGCAAATTCAAGTTTTCTAAGACATTTAATTTAGAAAAGCAAAATCTGTTTGGCTAATTGATAGCATCTTCTAATGAGAAGTTTGAGTTTTGTTGAGGAGAGATATCTGTCAGACAGTCCTGTAGCCCTTAAAATTTTGACTTTATATACAGCCAGCCAGTCAGATACTAAGAGGAGAATGCAAGAGTTGTAATTAAGTAACTTTAATCTCTTGGAGATTTCTACACTGTATCCTGTCATGTTAATATATCATGGTTGTGTTAGGCAGTGTAATTCAAGGCACCTTGGAAGGGTCCTGGGATTATCACTTGATAACTGAAATGCTCAAGCTTGTTGATATTTACCTTGTGGTCTTAGACTCTTACTAGGAGTCCTCAAGACACTGCTCCTTAAAAAAAGGGTAGACACATTTTGATACACCAATACTGTGTCTCCTGCTGCCATCATAGCATCAAAAAATAGACATTTAAATCATGACTAATGTGTTAACACATATTAGAATGAAATAACTGATGATTTTAGTGATTTTTAATTTTTCTTTCTTTTTTTGGTATGTGTGCAGCAATGAAAACGACTGGATGTAACTTAGATAAGGTAAATATTCTTCCTAATGCTCTGATCACTCCACTCATATCAAGCAGTATGATTAAGAGTGAAGATGTTACTCCAATGGAAGTAACAGCAGAGAAAAGATCTTCCCCTATTTTTAAGGTGAGCTACAGTGACTAGTGTCCCACATCTTAACCTCAAATATAAAAATTGCTTTATTTTGAATGATTTAATTTCTTTTCCCTGTGTTTATGCTTTTTACTTTTCCTGTTTCTTTCACATTTGTTTCTCTTCAGATGCACTTGATATATTTTGCTTTTCAGAGTGAATAATTTATACTCAAATAAAATGTCTACAAAGCAACTTCCAGTATACATTTTCAACAAGGGTCCTAAATGTTAACTTGACCTGTGGGATGTAGGGAATTAATGAATGTACTGGTTTAGCATTTTCAGAATTAGAGACATACAATTTCCTTTTCTCCTCCAGTCCTTTCCTGTAACTCATTTCCTTTTTTCACTTATTTCCCCTCCACCATAATGTTACCATTGATCCACAAAATGGAGCTATTTTAAAATTTACTATTAATTCATAAGCCATAGAATTAATGTGTTCTTACTGTCCTCAGCATATCAACAGCTGATTTTTCTCCTTCTTTGTTTGACTATATTTGCTTATGGTACTCATTTTAAAATCCTGATGACAATAAGGCATCATGTTATGACTGAGAATCATAGTCTTACACCTGTTCTCCAAATTAATCATATAGAGTGGAAAACTGGTCCTGCATATGCATATATTTTTATAATAATTTTTAAGAGATCATATGAGCTCATTTAATATTTATATATACATGTTATTTGGCAATTTTTATTTTTTAGACTACAAAGACGGTTGGATCAACTCAGCAAACATTAGAAAATATCTCTAACATAGCAGGAAATGGGTCTTTTTCATCATCATCATCTTCCCACTTGCCTTCTGAAAATGAAAAGCAGCAACAGATTCAGCCCAAGGCATACAACCCAGAGAGCCTGACAACTATCCAAACACAGGACATTTCACAGCCCGGAACCTTTCCAGCAGTTTCTGCGTCTAGTCAGCTGCCCAACAGTGATGCGCTACTGCAGCAGGCTACACAGTTTCAGACAAGAGAAACTCAGTCTAGAGAGGTATTACAGTCAGATGGTACGGTGGTGAATCTGTCGCACCTGACTGAGGCGTCACAGCAGCAGCAGCAGTCACCACTGCAAGAACAAGCACAGACTTTACAGCAGCAGATTTCATCAAGTATTTTCCCATCACCAAATAGTGTGAGTCAGCTGCAGAGTACGATTCAGCAGTTGCAGGCAGGAAGTTTTACAGGCAGTACCGCTAGTGGCAGCAATGGAAATGTTGACTTGGTCCAACAAGTTTTAGAGGCACAGCAACAGTTATCTTCAGTTTTATTTTCTGCTCCAGATGGTAATGAGAATGTTCAAGAACAGCTTAGTGCAGACATTTTTCAGCAAGTCAGTCAAATTCAAAATAGCGTAAGCCCTGGAATGTTTTCCTCAGCAGAGCCAGCAGTTCATACCAGACCAGATAATTTAATAGCTGGAAGAGCTGAAAGTGTTCACCCACAGACTGAAAACACATTATCTAATCAACAGCAGCAGCAACAGCAACAGCAAGTGATGGAATCGTCAGCTGCAATGGTGATAGAAATGCAACAGAGTATCTGCCAGGCAGCTGCCCAGATTCAGTCAGAGTTATTTCCTTCAACTGCTTCAGCAAACGGAAACCTTCAGCAATCTCCAGTTTACCAGCCGACTTCTCATATGATGAGTGCATTATCTACCAATGAGGACATGCAAATGCAGTGTGAATTGTTTTCTTCTTCTCCTGCAGTTTCTGGAAATGAAACTGCTACAACCACCACACAGCAGGTTGCAACCCCAGGCACAACCATGTTTCAGACATCAGGTTCAGGAGATGGAGAAGAAACTGGAGCACAAGCAAAACAGATTCAGAACAGTGTCTTTCAGACGATGGTCCAAATGCAACATAGTGGGGACAGTCAATCTCAAGTTAACCTTTTTTCATCTACAAAGGGCATGATGAGTGTTCAGAATAGTGGTACCCAGCAGCAAGGTAATGGTTTATTCCAGCAAGGTAATGAGATGATGTCCCTCCAGTCAGGAAATTTTTTGCAGCAGTCTTCTCATTCACAGGCTCAACTTTTTCATCCTCAAAATCCTATTGCTGATGCTCAGAACCTTTCCCAGGAACCACAAGGCTCCATTTTTCATAGTCCAAGTCCTATTGTCCACAGTCAGACTTCTACAACCTCTTCTGAACAAATGCAGCCTCCAATGTTTCACTCTCAGAATACCATGGCTGTGTTACAGGGCTCTTCTGTTCCTCAAGACCAGCAGTCAGCCAACATATTTCTTTCCCAGAGTCCAATGAATAATCTTCAAACTAACACAGTAGCACAAGAAGAACAGATAACATTTTTTGCAGCTCAGAATTCAATTTCTCCACTTCAGTCAACATCAAACACTGAGCAGCAAGCTGCTTTCCAACAGCAGGCTCCAATATCACACATCCAGACCCCCATGCTTTCCCAAGAACAGGCACAACCCGCCCAGCAAGGTCTGTTTCAGCCTCAGGTTCCCCTGGGCTCCCTTCCTCCTAATCCAATGCCTCAAAACCAACAAGGAACCATCTTCCAGTCACAACACTCAATGGTTACCATCCAGAGCAACTCTCCATCCCAGGAGCAGCAGCAGCAGCAGCAGCAGCAGCAGCAGCAACAACAACAACAACAACAACAACAGAGCATTTTGTTCAGTAACCAGAATACCATGGCCACAATGGCACCTCAGAAGCAGCCACCACCAAACATGATATTCAACCCAAGTCAGAATCCATTGGCTAATCAGGAGCAGCAAAACCAGTCAGTTTTTCATCAACAAAATAATATGGCCACAATGAATCAAGAGCAGCAGCCCATGCAATTTCAGAATCAACCCACTGTTTCCTCACTTCAGAACCCAGGTCCTGCTCAGTCTGAATCTTCACAGACCTTGTTCCATAGCTCTCCTCAAATTCAGTTGGTGCAAGGGTCACCCAGTTCTCAAGAGCAGCAAGTAACACTCTTCCTGTCTCCAGCATCCATGTCTGCATTGCAGACCAGTATAAACCAACAAGACATGCAACAGTCTCCTCTTTATTCCCCTCAGAACAACATGCCTGGAATCCAAGGAGCCACATCTTCACCTCAACCACAGGCTACTTTATTTCACAACACTACAGGAGGCACCATGAACCAACTACAGAATTCTCCTGGCTCTTCTCAACAGACTTCAGGAATGTTCTTATTTGGCATTCAAAATAGTAAGGAATTCTTTCTAATTTCTCATTTCTTAAATGTTATTGGTTGAAATGATCAGATTATTATTACTAGAAGGAAGCAAACACAATGGTTTTAAGAGCACAGATTGTAGTTAGAACTGAATTCAAGTCCTAGCTATACCATTTATATGGACTGAGACCTTAGGCAAGTTACTTGACCTGCATGAGCCTCAATTTCCACATCTAAAATGGTGATAATATTATATACTTGATAAGGATATTGGGAGGATTAAATGTAGTGGTAGTGTGTGTGTGTGTGTTTGTGTGTGTGTGTTTGCCATTTTAAGCTATAAACTTGAAAGGAAAAGGAAGTAAGAATGACAAAAAAAATCTCAGCCAATTAAAGTAAGTCATTTCCAAGGAGACAGAAGTCCATCTAATGTTCATAATACCATGGAAATTATAAGACTTATGATGAAAACTAAGCAATGTTGTATTTTTATACCACTTAGAGGAAACCTGGGATGAATTCCAGTACTGTTTAATGAAAACCTTTTTTGGAGACTGTGAGGTGCCTCACTTTTAGCTCTATACTGAGTGAGCACAGTAGTGAATTTCCCCTAGCAACTAATAAATATCTTCTTGTGAATCCTAACAGAAAGTAACTAATCAGATGTCTTCTCTATTTTAAATGTCTCTGCAGACTGTAGTCAGCTTTTAACTTCTGGACCAGCTACATTGCCAGATCAGTTGATGGCCATAAGTCAGCCAGGCCAACCACAAAATGAGGGCCAGCCACCTGTGACAACACTTCTTTCTCAGCAAATGCCAGAGAATTCTCCACTGGCATCCTCTATAAACACCAACCAGAACATTGAAAAGATTGATTTGCTTGTTTCATTGCAAAACCAAGGGAACAACTTGACTGGCTCCTTTTAACTGGGTATGTAAGTATTGCATTTTGGCTTCTTTCTTACTGAAAATATCAATAAATTTTATTATTATTAACAGATTTGAGTTAAGTAATAACAACTGTTTAGATTCTGATCTTTTAAAATATGGCTTTCTCACAATATGGTGCTTTTTTACTCTGAGTAAATTACTCTGAATGATAGCTTTTGGTTGTATTGTTAGTTCTGGGCATCCCTTCTGGCTCTAAGCTTCTTTGCCTTGGATGACAAAACATCTGATGATGACTGTACTATATATTGGATATTATTATGTCTCATTTCTCCCTTCCTCAAGAAATAAATATTGAGTCTGAAAAGTCTGGCAGTATAAATATGATAAAGTATCATTTATAGTACTGTATTATACTTTGGGATCCTTCAGGGTGAGAGGAGCTTTATAAATGCTTTCCCTTCCTAGTGAGTATATTAAAATTCTTCTTTTTTTTAGAAATTCCATGAAGAAAATCCTGATTTCAAGAGATCCTGAAATCTGTGATTCCATGAGGATTATTGAACTGTTACTTTAAAAACAAAACAAAATATGAAAAACTGTGACTGAGTAAATAGATTTTACTCTGACTGCAAAAGAGCACACCTATGCTGTCTATTGCAGTGATTAACCACCATCATTAACATCTTTATATTTTATGTTCCTAATAACAGTGATGACTGAGAATCTATTTGAGTTTCCAGCTGACAGAATTAATTGTTGCTATTTACCTAGGCACTATTATATCTTTAAAAGTACAGTTTAAATTGATAAGCTGGACCACTCAGTTATTATTGCTATTAGAAAATAATTCATATTGTCATGTTTACTTTTGTTCTTCATTCATATTTTCTTTCCTGCATTGTTTTAGTCAAGTAGTGGTTTCTGAAAAAGGAAAGTTTAAATAATAACTAATGCTGTGATTTTTCAATATAAAAAACCACAGCTATTGGCCAAAGTGAAGGAATTCTTTTTCAGTTTTTATGGAGAAACTGAAGAGATAACATTTTGACAAGTAAGCTGTATTAAGAGCTCTACACAGATTCAAGGCCTCTTTATCACAGACAACACACAAACTGGGAACAGCTGGATGCTATTGATTTTGTTTTTCAGAGAGTTGTTAATTCCCTGTTTCTGTTAATGAATTTAACCATAACTGCATAGAAAAATAATCATCTTGCTCTATAAAAAATGAAAGGGAGAATGTATGGTAAATTAGGTTCTGATATCCTCCTACAGTAGTTAAAACTGACAGTAATTGGAGTGTTTTTTTCTTTTCCCAGTCTTCGACTGGTGTTCCCTTTTTATATTCATCTTTATTATTATTCTCCTCTTCTTCATTTTATTTTAGACAATTAGTAATATACTAACTTTGTGACCCTGTGGTAACTTAAATGAAAAGGCCACTATGACCTGGGGTAACCCAGCAACTCCTGCAGCACAGGCTGGGGAGGGGGCCACCCTTTCAGAAGTGAGGGGAGCTGATTCCTGAGAAACAAGAAACTGCATTTTTTTTCCATGAACGGTGCTGTTCTGAAGTCTTCAAATTTTTCCCTCTAATAGGAAATAGTATCAATTTTAATTAAAAAAAAAAGACAAACTAAAATTTCTGGAAACATCACTTCTCCCTGAGCTGCAGTGGGTGTAATTCACTTGTCACCTCAGTGCTTTACAGTCTGAAGTGGTCACTTATCTGATGGTTCCCACAAGCCTTAGGCTTTACAGGGTCATATCATTGACTTAAAATGAAGAATTAATTTGTGTTACATCTGTAGAGAGCAAAATAACACACTCCAGAACTTGCAGTTGTAGCATTAGTTATACAGTTTTGGGTGTTCTCACCACCCATGGGATGCCTGCTTCTCACTACAACCTGTTGTCTGGACACATGCTTGTATCTTATTTTCCTTTTGGCATGTAGAAAGCTGTTAATACAGTTTAAGGCCAAATTGTGTGTGGCATCTATATATAGATAAGATGTTTTGGCATTCTTGTCTGTTTCCTTTATTTTTTAAGTGTACAAAAAAAGAGCCTGTTAATTGTTTGTTGAAGGCTACTTTTCTGTTTTTGTTTTTTTTTTTTTTATTTTAATTTTTTCTATCCTATACATTTAGTTGAACTTTGTGGAATTGTGGTGTTGGTTTTGTTTATACAGCCAGATTTTTCTCCCCCCTTTGTGATGGTCTTCCTTGGTTCTTTGAATGTGCTCTTCTTTAATTTGTTTTTTCTCTTTGTTCTCATATATTCTTCCCTCCATCCCCAACCCTTTCTTTCTTTCTCTCTCTGATTGAGAGGCATTGAATTATGTTTTCAGTAGTACAGGCTTCTTGCCGATATGAAGGGAACTTTTCAGAAAGAGACCTACTCTGGGTCATTTAATTTTGAATACAGTTTTCAATCGTTCAAGTTTTGGATGGTTTATATCTAATGTGTGTTTCATTTTTTTGGAAAGCTATATTTTGTATTTAGGAAATGGTATACTATTTTGCTATTTGTACTGAGTGAGTACATTGGCATAAATATAGAAATTTATATATATACATATATATAAACTATTCTTTTTTGCCACACATTTTTGTGGTAAATTTGTGAGTTTGTCTGATGTTCTACCACAACGTGGCGTCTGATAACAGTGAGGGGGGGAGGGTTTGTTATGTCTTTATTGAGTATTTAAGTATCTTTTGAAACAAATGACCTGTTCATCTGTGGCCATTCCATCAGGCAGTTCCTTGATGTGATTAGTGGGCTAAAGGCAGCTTACTGTGTGTTCGCTGGATCTTTCACTCAGCAAAATGTTAGAGTAAGGAAACCCATATAGGCAGTTGCGTCAAATGGTGTTTCACATGAATGAGCCATTCAGTCTTTGCTCACTATATATTTAATATTTTATTATTGTTGTTATTATTAATTGGCTTTCTGTATTCTATGCCTTTTATTTATAAAGACACTAAAAAAAAACATGTTTGTAATTTTAATAACATTTTCCCCATCTTGTAATATCCAGAGCTACTTTATAAATTCTCTAAACCAAAAACATTTTCTTCAATATATCTCTTCTCTCCCTACCCCATCAGGAAAAATTACCCAATATAGTTCAGGTTATGAGAAGGACTAGCCACACAATCCAGTGCTTTAGTTTTAAAATGTAAAACTCTAACTGCAAAAGGTTGGCTAATGTCTGAAAGCTTACTTACAGGTATAAAAATAGGAGTAGAAATAAAATGCTGTAAGTTTATTTCTGAGTTTTCTGAATTTTTTTCTAAGAGATAACCCAGGAGACTCAGAAATTCTATCTGTTCATCGAGTTCCAGTTAGAATGTTAACACTGCTCTATAGATGAAGTGGTGGCAAAAAGACTGGCTTGTGTGCTGACTTCTGTTCTGTTGTTTAGCAAGAGGTTTATCATTGTAAAATGCTGATTGCCAATGCCAAGTCACCAGGGACCAATTTTCTGTTTTATAATATCTAAGTTTAGAACAGAACATACACCTGAACTGTAGTGGTTTGATTGGATGGAGGCAGAAAACCCAATTTTTATTTTCATAAATTTTGTGGTTATTTATATAAGGGCTGTGCTAAGCTACCATATTCTTATTCAGTAATGATGGATTTCTTTTTAACATTGTTAAATGTTCCTTACCCCTAAAGGTCAATATTAAGTACCGCATTATGAATATACAATTTGGTTACAAAAAGTGTTTGTCGTCTTATTAAAAAGTTAGCTCAACGGTCAGTGGTTGATACTTGTGCTAATAATGCAGTTTCCAGATTACTGTTACAAGTTATAGCTGCATCTAGGAGAGACTCCATGAGCCAGCAAAGGCCTTGGAAACAACAATTTATTAACTTTTACTTATGGCAGAAGGACCTAAGCAAACTATGAACCGTATTTTATTCCTTTATATTGTTATACTCAATTGTTCTTTCTTCTAGCAACTTACATTAATGCTTGGAGCTTATCTTTGTGTCTGTGTAAGAGAGAGAGAGAGAGAGAGAGAGAGAGTGTGTGTGTGTGTGTGTGTGTGTGTGTTCCTTATTGTCATTCCATTATATATCCACAGCAATGTAGGGGAAGATAATTAGAAGTCATATTTTGCTTCTGACTTTTATCATGTTACCTTTGTAATTAGAGTATTATGTTATTTAACCAATGCAAATCTGTTTTCATCAGTTTCCCTAGAACAGATGTTTAAAGGGCTTTGTTTTATTATAGAAGCAGTATCAATGAGGGACCTTCCTTCCTTTCTTTTTTTATAATACTGTATATGCTATATTTGGGAATTCCATTATAGTACATTTCTTGCCCATCAGAACCTGTTAATCTGCCTACAAAAATTGTGTCAAAGGAAATGAGAAAGAAGTTATATCTGAGTCCCTGTAAAACTAAGATTATAATTCCTTTTGACCATTTAAGCCATTGTAGATGTTTTAGAAAAATGAAATCTGTTTAAATATATCAACAATTGCAGACTGGAGTTAAATGCTTTAATAGAGTCTCAAATTCAACATGGTTTATAAATATTCACTAGGAGTAATTTGAGAATTTTTTATCTTTCTGGTGAGAATTTCTGTTCTAATATCTGTTTTCTAGTTGATTTGTTTCTAATTAATTGAAAATTTTACAAACCTATTAGGTCTACTCTGCTTCATGACCACAGACTTCATCCCTAGACAGCCACGTTACATCTGTATGCCTTTGGTTATACTGAGGGACTTAAGGAAAGAGAGAGACAGTATGTATAGTTCAGCAGCTTCATTAGAAAAATAACTCAAAATATGTATCCTACTAGGCGGGTTAATAGAATCTCATAACATGTATTTAAGAAGAGGTTTTCTCCATTGCTTATTTGTGTCATTAGAGCTAAATTGTGAAGATAATGTTCATTATGTGGTAAATGTCGGAATAATACCTAGAATATCACTTGTGAATTGTCCCAGTGTTCTCATTATTTCTTTAATCCCCATTTATTTTAATGCCATTTTAGCCTCATTTATTAATAAAATTCTATTTTTATTCCACTTTCAGGAAATTTTTTAAAATTAATATTTTATATCTAGGTTTAAATGCTTATAGAAAAGTGCCTTTTTACCATGATAGTGCCCCTTTCTTGTAATTTCATTTTTCACTATTGCCAAAAAAAGATAAACAAATGACTTTCATAGTTCCAACTTTCACTTTTTTCTATTTAGTCATTCTTTTCTACATTTCTTGATTATAACCATAGACAACAACTTCATAACTTTCTGACTCCCTTTGGCATAAGAGGAGCAGAAAAGATACATAGCTAGAATTGTTTCTTTGAAGGAGGGTAAGTGAAAGATCACAAAATTATACTATTTAGGCTTTATGTAAATTAGCTAAATTTGTCTTTATCTTGACCAACTAATGATAGGTTTTATCTGAATACTGATGAAAATTTTACTATATGTGAGACTCTTAAATATCTATAGTTTAAAATAAATAAATAAATATATATAGTTAAATTTCAGAAAGGAAGAGTTTGAAGCATTCTCTGTTCGTAATTATAAAATGGATGAAAATAAATCACTAACACATAGTTTAGGTAAAGACTGGTAATGTCAGTTTGCCATTTAACTGTACAGAGCCCAGTAATTCATTATACTGTACTTCTTGCCCATCAGAACCTCTTAGTAATCTGTCTCTGAAAATTAATGTCAGTGGAAATGAAGAAGTTATATCTGAGTCTATCCAGAACTAAAATAATTCCTTGCAGCCAGATACAGTTGGATTGAGGGGATCCCTCTGGTTTTTGTTAATTTTGCCTATGGTTCCAGTTCCTTACTATAGTGGTAGTGCCTGAAGAAAGGGTTGTCAGCAACAGGTCAGACTAGTAGTAGCTTAGGGATAGAGCTGCCTTCCCCATGTGAGTATTTCCATGACTGTTAGTGGCACTGAAGACTGCAAACCTTTATGCAATATTCTTAACACCCTAATGGTGGTATTATGCACTTTAGTCATTCCAAAGAAGTCAAGAATGCTGTATAATGATGATTGCTATCTTAACTACTTAGAATATTTATATCCCTTTTATTTTGGCTAGCCAACTTGGTGTATGTGTTATGTGAATATTTTCTAAAATGACTGTATAGTAAGAATTAAGACTTTGAAATGTAATTGACTATAAGGGGAAATGCCTACACTTCAGAAAATCATTTTAGAAACATGAAGGTGTTCATCTTGCTAATCTATATGTTGGAGAGTTCATTAAAACCAGCCCTCTTCCTATATATTTTGTGTCATATTAATAACATTATTGTATATACTTTTCTACATATATAGTATGTATAAACCAATAGTTCTCCAAGTATGCTTCTCAGCCCACCAGCCAACGTCAGTATTTCCTGGGAACTAGTTAAAAATGCAAAATCTTGGGCCCTATCCAAACACAGTGAATCAGAAACTCTGGAGTGGGACTCAGCAACTGTGTTTTAACAAGCCTTCCAGGTGATTCTGATGCTTGCTAAGGTTTGAGAACCACTGGTGTAAGTTGTATACAGTAAGATCCAGAAAGGGCTATTTTTGGGGGGGGTTTTGTTTTTTTTTCACTCACACAGACACAGTTATACATTGTTTTTGATGTAAATTCAACTTAACCTGGTTATCTATAATCATTTATTGGCAATGATAATTTATTCTCAGTACTGCCTGTAGAAATACAGTATATTTTATGTACATAAATAGTTACTCTAGTTATTGATAATTCAGTTAACTTAGTTTGGCATTTTCTACCACTTATTAAAAAGTTTACATTAAATGACTGATTTAAATATATAGGTGCAATGTTCTATATTTATTTTAATTATTATGACATTTAAAGTAGCTAACATAATTGACAGGTGCTAAAGCCTCCTGTTTATCCATAAAATGGGTACACTGTGGCAGTGATAATACAAGCTTTCTTTTCATTGCCTCTTACTTTACCAGCAGACCACAATTTTGGCCTGGCTAGACCAACTCTCATAACAAAATTATTTGTCATTCCTTGTAATTATAGTTTTACCCGAGATATTTAAACATCATGGCTGGCCAGGTCAACAAAGCACCTTATTTAATTTCTTTTTTTAATAGATAAATCTTTAAAAATAGCTTGCTTTGTATGAGAACTGATGCAGTAAAAATTTAGTATCCTTGGAACTTAGGCTTCAGACAAGATATTAAATAGGACCATGCATTGTATAATTTGGACATTTCTCCCTTCCCAATTGTATGCATCATGGAAAATAAATTAACCACAGTAGATTTATTCATTCATTTTAATCTCCCTGTATATTCAGTACCTCTTTAATTTTTCTAATTTTCCCACTGTTTACAAATCACCAACTAATAAACTCGTGAAAGAAAAACGTGCGTTTCAAAATAAAAGTCATTGTATACTCACTTTATAAAAATAACCACTGCTGTCTTTACTTAATACCTGCAGTGGAAATGTAAGTGGCTTACTCTACAAACTTTGGTGCTGGAAATGCATAGGCAAACTGTTGGGAGATGCTCAACCTACATTCCTCTTTTCTTGTTCCTTTCCCCTCTTCCCTACTTGATTGCATAGTATATTCCTGTATCGAAAGCATTCTACCATACCACAATTCTGTTTGACTCCAACTTGTAGTATTTCCTTTAAAAGCCCTGTGTTTAACCATATCATTCTGCTCTT